TTTTCTCTGGAATGGTACACGTCTTCCAGGTAACTTTTAAACTGGCAATTACCTGTTTTTTTAAAGCCAATTTGGTCTAATAACAATGGCTCATTCAAAGCCACACTATTTCTAGTCCAACGTTACTTCGAGTAATCAAAGGTGTTTTTAAATAAGTTAGGCATTAACATTCTCTCTGATTCTGTGAAAAAGCTTCAGATGAAAATAGCTGCATTGAAAAGAGGCACTCCCTTCACCCCCTCCACCTAAAGGTGTATTTAAATTATCTTGTGGGATTAACTTATTTAGAGATGGTATAATTTAAAATAGGTGATATTTAAGGTAGCATCAGCTAGCAATTAAGAAATCATTTTTTCTAAACTCCATACTTTTTGAAAAGAAATCTGGTCTTGTTAGAAAACAAACTTCAATTTACTCCTCAATTTAGTTTCGGTTTTACTAGTTTGATAGTTATCTCGATAGCAAAAGCAATAGACAGCTTCCTCCATTTCTCATTTAAGTTTTGCATGAACATCATACAGATTAGTTAGGTTTTTGGTCAAGGGCTTATCATACTTTTAGGTCTTTTGCTAGTAAGTTCAAGTTAGAATTAGTGACAGAATTATAGGAATTTTCAAAGATCCTGTATTGAGATTTCTTAAGGCTGCAGATACTGCACTATTGGTTTTGTTTTTGTACTGGTTAAAACTATACATTCAAAATTGCTATGTTCCTATTTTCTATAATAGTTTGTCTATTTTAAAATAAACTAGTTGTTAAGAGCCTTACTGGTGTGATATGGTCTCTGTGATAAGTGTTTTATGTCTACGAGCTTTCTCCTAACATCTCATTCATTCTGATGATCCTCAGAATTATAGAGATGTGCTTTTAGGCCCACATACATACATATATTATATATTATTTATTTATACATATATATTAATTCTGTTCCCTTTGTTTCAATTTTGTGAAATGAATTTGTTTAAAAAGTTGTGTGTTTTATGAGACCCTGTCAGAAACAGACCGGAAAAGGGAGGCACTGTGAAGCCTTAAAAGCAACTAGTCTAGTAGGGCACAAAGAAGGATCCAGATGAAACAGTAGTTGGCTATGTAACTGCCAGCTGGTGGCTGCAGGCCCTTCTTTGTTGATAAACAGTAAATCTGTCCCAACATGAAAATAAGTGACAGGAGGTTCTTTTATAATTGCAAATTAGTGAGGATGGTGGCTCCAAGCAAACAGAGGACTGAGGTTCAAAAGAGGTATCTGCGCTGTCTCCACTAGACACAGTTGCAAAAGCAAAAACAAAACCACAGGACCAGAAAAAACCTGGTGGTTGTGGTGAGTGCTTGTAAGCACAGCATTATGCAGCTGAGTCAGGAAGGTATGTGTAGGAGGCCAGCTTGGCTTATACAGAAGGCTTAAGTAAAAATTTTAAAAAGAGGTGGAGAGGAGACAGAGTGACAGACAAGATACATCCAATAAAGAACTGTCACCTAAAACATACAAAAAACTCTTAAAGCTCAACAAAAAGAAAATAATTTCATTTAAAATTGAGCCAAAGACCTGTCTAGGTAGATCATCAAAGATGGCAGAGAAGCACATGCAGGGATGCTCCACATCATACATCATCTGGGAGATGCCAAGGAAGACAGCAGCAGCACTACACATCTATTAGAATGGTCAGAATTTGGACCGCCAACACTACCAAAGGCTGCTACAACAGAACTCCTTCACTGCTTGTGGGAATACAGCTTGGCTGTGTCTTACAAAACTACACATAACTTTACCATAAGATCGCATAAACACACTCCTTGTGATTTATTTACTAAAAGGAACTGAGAACATGTCTACACAAAATGTGGACACAGTTGTTTGACCACTTATTCACAACTGCCAAATCTTAAAAGCAATCAAGGTATCTTTTAGTAAGTGAATGGATAAGCTGGTACAACCAGCAAGAAAAAGCTGTTAAGCCAGGGAAAGTCAGTGGAGGAATCTGAAGTGTCTATGACTAAAATAAGAAGCCAGGGTGAAAAAACTGCATGCTCAGATTTCAATGATGTTTTGGAAAAGGTGAAACCATGAAGACAGAAAAAGGATACTGGGAATGAAGAAGGCTCAGTAGTTAAGAGCACTTGTTCTTGCAGAGAACCTGGATTCAGTTTCCTGTACCTGCATGGTTCACAACTATCCAGAACTCTAGTTCCAAGGAATCAAGCCAGTCTTATGCCCTTGACTGGTAATAGGCACATATATGGTGCACCTACCTACATATATGTGGGGAAAACATTTCTACATGTTAAGTAAATCTTAAAAAGACCAGTGGTTGCTAGGGATTGGGGGAAGAGAAAGAATGCATAGGTAGATCACAACTATTTCATGTATACTGTGATGAATTAGGATGTTTTCCAAACTCAGAATGTACAACAGCAAGAGTGAAACTTACAAACTGGCCTTCAAAAATAAGGTTGTGGAGAGGTTTTCATCATCAGCTATAACAAATATACTACTCTGGGGGAGATGCTGAAAGTGGTGGTAAGACAGGGGACAAAGTTCTACATCTTCATAGTTATGTAAAATTATAAAACTTCACAAAAAATTATACCTTCAAAACAAGTGACTTTCCTTGACACAGGCTTGGAAAGACAGACTTGAAATTAGGAAAACGCCTAAGACTGGAAGACTGGCCTCTATAGGTGAGTCTGTCAGACATTTTCTTCATGATTGGTGTGGGGTGGCCCAGGCCATTGTGTGAGGTGTCGCCAAGGGTAAGAGGTCTTGGGTTCTATAAGCAAGTAGGCTGAGCAAACCATGGAAAGAAAGCCAGTAAGCAACACCCCCTCCCTAGCCTCTACTTCAGATCCTGCCCTGAAAATTCTAAGCTGAAATAAACCTTTTCCTTCCCGAGTGTCATTTGGCCGTGCTATCACAGCAGTAGTAACTGTGATGGCTATTCTTGGTTGTCATGTTGACTATATCTGGAATGAACTATAATAGAAAATGGAGGGTACACCCGTGAGAGATTATCTGCTTAGTTTGAAGTGGATGAATCCACTTCTAGTGTGGACCTTTGAAGTAGGAAGATGCAAAACTTTGATCTGGATCTTGAGGCAGGAGACACAGGCCATTAATTCAGATTTTGAGGCGGGAAGACATACTTTTAATATGGGCCACACCTTCTGCTGGAAGTCTATGTAAGGACATAGAAGAAGGAAGCTTTTGGTCTCTGCCTGCTTGCCCTTGCCTTGCTAGTACATCCACTCCTTCAGTGGGCATTGGAGTCTACTTCAGGATTCTAGCATATACAGAAAACAGCTGAGACATCCAGTCCTGGAGACGGTGTGACTACTAGATTCTTGGACTTTCTTTTCTGTTCACAGCTAGCCACTGTTAGATTAGTTGGACTGCAGCCTGTAAGTCATCTCATTCCCCAAGTGCTGTGACTAGAGAACCCTAATACAGTAAGTTTACCAACAGCCAACAAAGGCAGTACAATTAATAATGCTTGATTTTAAAAAAATAAGAACCATTCATGTCTTAGTATTAACTTCTGAATAACTTAGTATAACATCTGAATATCTGCTTTCAACAAAACAAGTACAAACCATAAAAGAGATTTTTATATGCCTATGAGACAGAAGGTTGACACTTTATTTTTTGTTGTTCAACAGTTTAAAACTGCAAGTTGTTCTATCTTCAAGTGAGTATTTTATTATCAAACAATTATACATGAGAACAAGATTTCCATTTCCAAAAAGGTTTCCTTTACATAATATATTGTGAGACACTTAAAAGAATCCAGCATTGCATCTTATCTAGTTTCTCTTTTGCTATAGGGTGGCTTGTTGTGGTCTAAAAACTTTCTCCATGAAATGTGTTAGTTCCTTCCCATAAAGTATTTACTAGTGCTAGGTTAAGAGACCTGTTTTATAATGATTTAAAAGCTAGCTACAAAAAGAACATATAATCTTACAGAGGAAGAACCTCCTTAATATAAAGAAAAACAAAGGAACTTGTGCAATTACATAAAGCAGATGATTCCAGAAATAACAGAGTTAATACTTAACCAGTATGCCATATGAGAAGTTAACTTGAAAAGTAGAAAATTAAAATTAGCCCTTGGGCCTTTGACAATCTGAGGAGGCCTTTTATGAATTCTAATATGCTCTAAATTAGCTGCCATTTCTCAGAACTACAAATTAAAAGAATATGAATCTCAAATCATAGACTTCTATTTTGTTTATTCCTTCACCCAACCTTCTAGATGTTCTCAGCACACCCTTGACATTGACAGTAAATGAACTGAAAGCCTTTTATATACAAGGCACTGTGTTAGAGGCTTGAAATATGGGAGTGACAGCATTCCTTGTGGAACTAAGTGTTAGCCATCTGAATAAAGGAATATTTCTCCAGAAAAGAATGTGTCAATGCCTCAAAGATATCCTTAGTGACTCAAAGGAAGAAATACTAACTATAATGATGTTTTCATTTTAAGTGGTACTTTATTTTTCATGTCTTCATTATTTTCTTCCCTTACTTCAACTTCTCCCAGAACCTCCCAACTTTCCTACCTATTCAACTAAGTGTTGTCTCTCTCTGTCTCTGTCTCTCTCAAAAAAGAAAAACAAACAAAACCCAAAAATGACCCAAAAAAACTACCAAAACAAACAACAGAAAAGCATGGAGTGTGGCCTGGGCAAATGCACATAATGAAATCAGAGACTGACCGAGTGCCCAAGACCTGCGCAAGCTCACACCAGACAGGTTCCTGGTTGGAGAGGGGGAAGTGGACAGAGTTCCACCACCACTAACCAAGAAACTGTTTACATCTGATACCTGCTGGGAGAGGGAGAATCTCCACGGGAGTGAAGCTGTGTGCATTTTCATTTCTCACGTGATCACTCAGTGCTTTGGGTTAGGTAGGTGGAGAAGGCTGATGGCCATCCTTTGTCAAAACTCAAGAATTTGGCCCGATGTAACACTATCAACACTGCTAATTTATAGAGAAGTTGTTCGTTGATGGCTTTTTAAAAATGTTTTATTTGTTTTTGCAGGGGTGAAGTGGAAAGGCTTAGACACTCCTTTGCATGTTAGGGATCAGTTCTTAAAAGCTCCAACTCTGCTGGCTTTGCTGATGAAGTTCTTCAGAAGATCGTGGTCCATTTCTGCAAACCCTGAAGTTTGTGTTACTACAGTCAGATGATTTATGCAAAATCTGAAGCAGAACTCTTCTAAATCCTAGGAACAACAACAACAGTTTAATGAATTTGTATTTCCCAGGGCAAGGCAACAAGGCAAGAGAATTCCTCTCAGAAAAAGGGATTGATGGCTAGTAGGAGGGGATTATCAGTAGAACAATAGTTAGAGCAACTTTATAACTCAATTAGTTCATGTTTCTGAAAGTGTAAGTAACAGAAAAAGACAATGGCCAGGGCGAAGCATCTAGCCTTTTCTTCAGAGAGAAGTATGTAAGCACAGGCATCCTTCAGCACCTTTCCTAGCTACAATGTGTGTCATTCATTCGTTCATTCATTCATTCCCCTTTCAGTACTTGTTAAAAGCACTGTGCTCCTGGTGTTTTTAAAGGAAGAGTTTGTAGAAGGCGAAGACACCAAGACAACTGACAATGCCAGGAGTCCCAGGTCATTAGCATATTTATTTTTTCTCTGCCTGACAACAGGGTCGATGTGTGCACTTCATCACGTTACACCTTCAATAATTAACGGGAAGAATCTAAGTGGTAGAGTATGTGCTTGGCACATGGGAGGCTCTGGGTTCAATCTCCAGATACATATTTACATACACTTCAATGTAAATGTGTATTTAAATTTATACAAAATTGGAGTTGAGGAATGAACTCAAAGCCTCACATAGACTAGGCTTACTAGGGAAGTGTTCTACACCCATCACAGGGGATACCCGCTCATTTTCTCATTTTGTGCTGTTGAAGCTATTTTATAAAATACAAAGCTCCCAACAGTTACCAAGAAATTACATATGTACATTGCCCATTATAGTCTTTTCTCTAAATAGAAACTATCAAATGCTGAAGATGAATGAAGACTGAGATTATCAGCAACAGAAAACACTGACAGTCATGCCAACATGCACAGAAACCCACAGGACATTTCCCTTGTGAGGAAGAAAACAAGGAAAATGCAATCACTCCATCCCACAACAGATTGGTAGAGACTGGTAGGCTGCTGGATTCCCACATGAGCTCTCGGGGACAAAATGGAATAGTCTTGTACCCATATGACAGCAAATACCTCAAGAGCTACCCAATAGCAGGCAGCACAGGAAAGCAGACAAGACAGAGTGGTGCCTCTCAGGCTGAACCCTATACAAGGATGGAGGGATGTCTGATCCTACAGACGGATGGAGAGATGCCTGAATACTACACAAGGATGGAGGGATCCCTGAATCCTACACAAGGATGGAGGGATGCCTGGATCTTAAACAAGGATGGAGGGATGCCTGAATCCTACACAAGGATGGAGGGATGCCTGAATCCTACACAAAGATGGAAGGATGCCTGAATCCTACACAAGGATGGAGGGATGCCTGAATCCTACACAAGGATGGAGGGATGCCTGAATCCTACACAAGGATGGAGGAATGCCTGAATCCTACACAAGGATGGAGGGATGCCTGGATCCTACACAATGATGGAGGGATGCCTGAATCCTACACAAGGATGGAGGGATGCCTGCCCACATCAGTACTGATGCTGTGGGAGTGGACAGTTGAGCATGTTGGCGTCTTAGAGATCCAGTGTCAGGACAGTTGCTAATTACTGGGAAAACAAAATGACTCTCAGAAACTACCACTTAGATCATCTTCCTTTACTTTATGGACTGGGAATTTCCCATAATTGTTGTAAACATGGGATTCAGAAAGAATTCTGAAATTGAAAAAATATTCAATAAACTGACTTATCAGAGAAATCGGTCTTTGTATAAGACAAGTGCTTTATTATTTTTCAAATACTCTCCTCTGCTTAAATGCTACTGTTTTACACAACCTCATTTTAACAAGAGCACTTAGGTCTGTCAGGCAAACAGACGCCATGATTCCCTGTTCACTCTCCTCACACATGACTCATACTTTGTCCAAGAACTTCCTGCTACTCCTTCTAAGTGAATGTGACTTCCTGCTTTATTCAGAAGCGGCTACAGAAAGCCCTTCCCCTCATGCCTTCTTACCTCCTGATACAAACCTGTGGGCACTCCTCTTTTTGGGTGCCCTAGTGAATGGTCCATGGTGGATATAAGGCCTGCCTCCTGACTCTCCTGCCCTACCTAGTCAAGGACATGCTCTAGCAACTGTTTGTCAATGTATTGTTCCCCTTTTTACACAAACATGCTGTGACCTATTTCAGCCAGCCCTCCAGTAAATCTGTCAATAAATCACCAGGAGAAGCTGTTTCTGGTCTGCACCCCCCAGCCCCCAGCCCCTCTGCTTCCAGTCTCCAGTCAGTCAGGCCTTCCTCCCTGCAGGATGTACCGCAGCACTGCGTTTCCACACTGCCAGATGCAAGCATGCACCTCGAGTCACTAGGGCTTTAAATACATTTAAGGATTGCTTTCTCACTAAAACTTAAGTCTCTGCCAGCTTTCAGGGCATCACCCCCTAAACCATGGGGACTGACTTTATTTCTAAATATGGGAGATTTCACTTTTCACTTGACATTAAAGTTTTAAAAGAGTACTCATGTGGAATGGATTTACCCTGGTACTTGTTCCCCTGCAGTGTCCTTCCCTAGTGTCACCTATCAAAATCTTTTTTTTTAATTTTATGTGTTTTTATTTAAATTAGAAACATGCATGCTTCAAATGTCAATCCGGCTCCCCCCTTCTCCCTCCACCAGCCCTACCCTCACCCCCAGCCCAATCCCCACATCATTCCCCAGGGAGGGTGAGGCCCTCCTTGGGGAAATCTCCAGAGTCTGTCATTTCATCCAGGGCAGGACCTAGGCCCTACCCCACGTTGTCCAGGCTGAGTGAGCATCCCTCCACGTGGAATGGGCTCCCAAAGTTCATTTGTATGCCATGGTGAACACTAGTCTACTACCCAAAGCCCCAGAGATTTCTGAGGCCTCCTCACTGACACTACATTCATGGAGTCTGGATCAGTCCCCTGTTGGCCTCTTAGTCATCAGCAAAATCTTAACTTCGGACACTATCTGTGTCATGACACAGCTGGCTCATGGCTCCCAGGAGACTTCTCTCTGAACTCCAAACTGCCTCTCACTCACTCTTGCTCAGTGTCTTTCTTGATGTCTCCCAATCCTCGAAACCAGATTCCTAGTGTTTCCCCTAAAATGCTGCCCTTAGCCGTCCTACCAAATGTGGTATTCTTTGCCATCCTCCATCTCACAGTAAAAGAGCTCATCTTGTTAGTTACTCAGGCCAAAAGCCTAGACATGATCCTTACACTGTCCTTCCCAATCCCCACCCCACCACAACAAATCTAAATGCCTCTACCTTTTCTTTATGCCTCTACCTTTTAAGTAGAGTTACAATCCAACCACTTTTCACCATTCTTGTGGACAATGACTTGGGTGCGTCCACCCTTACTACTTGCTCGTGGACATGGCCTCCTCATTGGACGGTCCCTACCACCCCTATTCCATATGGATACACTTGGGTGTTGTTTTTATTTAAATACTGAATGAAAAATGAGACATCAAATATTAGCAATATATACAGTCAGGCCTAGTGGCTCAGGCCTGTTCTTCAAGACCCTTAGGGGCCTGAGGGCAAGAAGATGACAAGTTTGAGGCCTGCTTGGGATACAAAGTGCTCAAGGTCAAACCTGGACTAGTGAGAGCCTGTCTGACAATACACAGAGAAGGGCTGGGGATACAGCTTGGAGGGCAGTTCTTGTCTGGCAGGTACAAAACCCAATGATTCAATGCCTAGAACCACCCCCAAAAAACTTTTTAATAGAAAGTAAAAGAGGATGAAGCTCTGACCAGGGGCGGGCGGTGGGGCAGCAGCCATGCCCTGTGACAGACGACAGTCATGGTGTCTGCTCTATGCATTGTTTCCTCCCTCAGACCTTGAGTTTCCTACATAAGCATGTTACTGTTTACAAAAGAGGAAAAAGGCAGTCTCTTTTTACCACTTTTTTTAAATCAATGGAGAGGATATCCTTATACCAAAAGGAAACTGACTTCGAGACGTTACGGCCTGTTTCCTACAGATTTAGCTCTAAAATAAGTTTCCTTTCCTTTCTTTATCATAACAATACACAGCCACTGTAGAAAGTTCAGGAAAAAGCAAAGAGCAGGAAACAGAAGCTGAGTCTAATCTCCCTATGCGAGTATATGCACTTTCACGACAGGGTCATCTCCCAGCTCCTCCTGTACTGACTGTATTTTTCATTTGTCTTTTGGTCCATTTTTCCCCAAATCGCCCATGTCTTCTTTTCCCTTTTTACTATGAAGAGCTTGCTTTATTGTATGTTGTAAAAACATTTGTCCCAACATGTCATTTACTTGTGAACTTATTTATGTGTGTGTGCTTGTACATGGTGCATGTCACAGCACATACATGGAGGTCAGAGGGCATCTAGGAATCAGTTCTCTGTTTCTATCATGTGGGTCCTAGGGACCGAACTCACAGTGCTAGGCTTGGCAGCAAGCTCCTTTACCTGCAAGCCATTTCAGGTAAAGGAAATGGATGTGTAAGGATTGTAATCACAGGAAATCAGGTCTATCAGTCTTTTATAGTATCTTCCTTTGAAATTACTGAATCATATTTTTATACCAATATAGAACCAAATAATTTTTCTAGAACTTTAGTTTATTTTTGTGTGTTGCAATTTCATCTACCTACAGCTTATTTAAGGTATGGTGATGACACATAACTTGTCTTTGGGCTCCTTACCTGAGCGTCGTATTTCACAGCAGCAGACAGCAAAGCAATAGCATTCTCCTCACAGATTCCTTGCTTGATAGTCTGCTGACAGAGCTTCTTCAGCCGCGTCTCACTATAAAATGTGGCCAGATCTAGCAATCCTGATGAAAAGAAGAATTCATTGTGGGTAAGCACCTGATCTCAACCCCAGTGTTCAAAGGGATGTGACCACGACTTCCATCGGGCACAGTGAGCTAGCTCTAGCTCTGTGCAGCACTGACAGTGCAGCTTCCTAAGAAGGCCGCTGAGCTGAGCTAACAGAGAAAAGCTACTGAAAAGCTACTGAAAAACAGGAAAACAGGAGTAGTCACGTAAGAATGGCTTGAATGATTTTTTTTTCCTAGAAACAAAACACCAGGACTGTGTTTCCCTCTCCTGCACAGAATCTTCTCCGGAGCCACACCCAGCAGTACACATGCTGTCACAGAGTTAAAAGAACAGGAGGGATTGGGGTTGAGGGTGGGTCGGTGATGCAGTGCATATACTTAGCAGGCTGAAGCCCCACCTTCAACTCCTGCATCAAATAATAGAAAGAAATCCCCTTTCGTGGGCTCTTCCAGCAAAACCCCTAGACAGCAGTCTGTATTTGCCGTCATTTCTCAACTCCCACTGTCTTCTGAAACCACCCCATGCTGAATCCTCCCACACTTATACTGGCTTCACAGTGCCAAATTCAAAGGCTGATCTAGTTTCCTCTTTTCAACACTCACCCAGAGTTTATGTGGGTGACATGCTCTGGCTCTGGGCACTTTGTCACTTGCTAATGTTTTTCTTCTCTTTAATTAGTGACTCTTGCAGTCTCCCAGCTGTGAACCCCTGCTCATGACCTGGGGCTCAACCCTCCCATACTTATTCATTTATGTCTCCAAGTGAGCTTTAGCCCTTTTGTTTCAAATACCACCTATAGATGCTGTTTCCTTGATGTGGTCATCTCCTTAAATAACTCAATGGAGACGGATACATTCATGTCATTTCATTTTGACCCACCTTGAGGAACAATGTGGACCATTCTAAAGCAGAAATATTCAATAGGCATTTGAAAGACCCCACTGGTTTTCAGATAGTTGTCGGAATCTTCACTAGAGGGTTTGTTAGCATAAATGTCAGGGTGTATCACTGGCAAATGAGTTTGCCCGAGAATGCGTGTGGCTGGGCTAACCGGCTGTGGGTTCTCAGCCCTTGCATCAGTGGGCTCCAATGTGAGGCCAACATTCTGACCTCCCAGAAGCAGTATGTATGCCCAGTCTACAGTCAGACCCAGGCTGTCCCCTGTAAACCCTCAGCCCACTGGTCCTTGTGATCTGTGCCAAAGGAACTCAGACAAGACACAGGGGAGTGATCCGAGCATACCCACGGGGTGAGAATGTGTGGAGCTCCGAGGACTACTGTGTGGATCTTCAAATGATTTATGGGATTTCAATTTGACTTTTAAAATGTATACCATCTTAACACTTTCACTGTTTAAACATACTTAATTGGAGCATGTGCCCTAGTGCATATGCGGAGACCAGAGGACAGCCTGTGGGAATCAGTTCAAATCTGGTTTGTCAGGCCTGGCAGCAAACATCTTTACCCACTGGGCCACTGGCGCCATTATACCATTTTTAACATTGTAAAAACAAACAGCTTTCTCTGAGGGACTTTGTCCTGCTCTGGGAATTGACAGTTCTGACAGTTCTGTATGGATTGTTATAGCGGGGGGGGGGGGGGGGCCCACAATGGCATGTCAATGCTTTTTCTCCCTTCTTTTAAAGTCATATACCTTTATTAGATAGTAGTGAATCTTCATTAGAGGGCTTACTAATTAGGATAAATGTCAGACTTTGCCAGTTCTAAATGAGTTTTCTGGGAATGTGTGGCTGGGCCTCATTATCCCAAGTCCTCACATGTGTGTCTACATGCACACACATACACATGCACACACACACAAATTCATTCTGCCTTTCAGATCATGGAGCATTTAACTGGGACAACTAGAAATGCCCACTTTCACAACTGCTGTGTGGTAGATGTGGCCTTGGCCTTCTCTGGGCACTGATGAAGTGACCTTCTAGGACTGTGCCTTTATAGACACTGGCACGTGCTGTCAGCCCTCTCCGGCACACTTGCCTGTGATTCTCCAGTGGACACTGGATTCGCCTACTCAGCCTTCATGTACATTTGGTTTCTGGGCCTGAGAGTGTGAGCAAAGCCAGTGCTCCATCTGAGCCCCAAAGAGAAAAGTTCTCTGGCCCAGCACCAACAGGAGAGTTCCTGCAAGTGCTCACAGGGCCTTTCTTCTGGGTTGGAGAGAAGCCTGCCTTCCTAACTACTCAACATTTTGCTGATTCCTTGGTAAAGTCTACGGTGATTACCTACTGCCTCCTCAGGAGATAGGCTGATGTTATCCGTGTATAGGTACTCCAGGAAAGCTCGGAACACAGGATATGAAAACTCACTCATTTCTATAATATCATCGTCACTGTCTTCTAATGAAGAACGAAAATGCTCACACCTGAAAGAAGAAAGAAAGATCATATCCCAGGTTCTGGGCTGGAGTCAAAGGGCTGCTTGAGGACTTCCTATTGAAGTTGTGTGCCTTCCTATTTGCTAGTTAAATACTGGATGTCTCTTGAGGGCCATCTGTCCACACTTGGTCCTAGGGTGGCACTCTTAAGTAGGACTTACACAGGGTGACCTACTGTGAGGTCTTCCATTGTTGGGAAAATGCACCCAAAGGGATTTGTGGAACCCAAGCTCCTTTTGGATCCCTGGCTTGTGGTATTAGCAATGCTGTTCCTCCAGGCACTTCCTACCATGACACACTACCTTAAAGAGGCCCCGAACAATGGTGCAAACCAGTCCTAGATTGAAACCTCCAAGCCAAACCTGAGCCAGGATAAGCTTTCAAGCTGAAGTTACAGCTCAGTGGTACCAAGCACTAAGTAAACAACCTTTGGTCAGTTAATCATCTCAGGCATTTCAGAATAGCGATGGAACACTGCGGAGAACATCATCCTCGCCTTGGCTCCTTGTTTTCTTTGCTGGCCTGAAGTTTTCAATTACTTAATCAGCAAGACTGCAAATGCAGCCCAGGCCACTGTCTCTACAACTAAACTGAGGGACACACGGCAGGGGCTGCTGGTGTCTTTCAGATCATCTTTACAGATCAGCACTGCTTTGATAACTGAACAATGTTCTCTTTATGCCTTTCAGTCTGAATTATATCCCCTAGAAGTCCCTGAGTTGATGATCTAACCCCTGGTAACTTACAAAGTGACCTTGTTTGGAGACAGGCCCTCTACAGAAGCCATCAAGTTAAAATGAGTCACAGTGGTAGGCTCAATGCAATCAGACAAAGGGAGAGATTTAGATACAGGCAGACTCAGAGAACACCACACGGCATGCCTCAAAAAGATGAAGGTTACCATGACTGGAAGCTCAAGTGGAGGCCTGGACTCTTCTTCCAGCTCAGAGGAGAAACACGTATGGCTCCTGTGATAAAGTAAGCTGCTATGGTCTAGGCCACATGTGTATAAGTGCTCTGTCACAGGGCACTATGCCCCCACTTCCTTTATGAAAGTATGTGCTCCATGGTGACAGTGAACTCACGTGGCACTGTGTGTGACCTTACAAAACAGAGACCTGAGACTGAAACACCACATTGACTTGTGAGTCACTGAAAGAGGATTTAAATATCTTTTACACAGTGAAAACAAAATCCCAACTCATTTTACTAAGAGGAAAAAGCCAGGCAGAAAAGAATAAATGCCATATAATTTCATATATATGAGCGTCTAGAAAATGCTAAGTATCTATGATGACAGAAAAAAATCATTGGCTGCCCAAGATGGGTCTGTGGGATCTTTGAGTTCTGACAGAATTTTTTCGTGTCTGAAGATAAAGTGGTGGCTTCCCAGACTATATACATGGGTCAAAACTGAGTAGCTATCATTCAGTGCTCATAAATTAAGCATAATAAATGTGATCTAAAACATCTTCATGCTGGCATCACCCAGGCCTCCTGGGTCTAAGAGAGCCTTGCCATGCCTGAGGAAGAAAGGTTACCATGGCTGCACTTGGGGATGTATTCCAGCCCAGGCAATAAAGAAAATCAGAGTTATTTAAAAAAGAAGAAGAAGAAAAGAAAAGAGAAAAAAGAAAATCAAAGCACTTGGCCCCATTCCAAGGGCAAAACGTACTCACCAAGGACAGAAGGACAGAAGTCACAGCTGGTGCTGTCTAATGCGGGCTGTCCCTGAGTACACACTCAGGACTCATGGCCCACCCTACTTTCAAGCTTGCCCCACTGCCCCCCCACACACTGTGTGTTTTAAGGGCAAAAATAGCCTTAACAGAGTTGCCTCTAAATTACTCAGATGCCTGGCACAGTCCCTTGGACACCTGAAACAACCAATGAATAAATTAATTTCAATTCTCAAAAGAAGACGCACTCTTACTAATTATTTTAAACATTTAGTGGGGGGGGGGGCAGCTCTCTCTGTCTACCATATAGGACCCAGGGATGGAACTTAGATCATTAGGCTGAATGGATGACCAGCACCATTACCTACAGAGCCATTGTGCTGGCCCACTCTTACCTAATTTTGAGAAGGACTTTGTGAGCATAAATGTATTTTCCATCAACCAGAAACTTGAGGTCTGCAGTGTCAGGGTTGTCAAATTCCCTCTTCAGTGACTCAGCCACGGTGAGGTGGTCATCAGGTTCTAAGAGAACAACACAGTAGTTCTAGGTTCAGCCACAGATGGTTGGACATGAAGGGACCCTGCTCTCTGGGCATTCAGGCAAAGCTGACTCCCCAAACAAATGAGCAGCTACACAAGGATTTCACCCCTGAATACAGATTCACATCCCTGAACACTGTAAATTTGGCAAAACTAAAAATGTTTCCAACACTTTCACTAACTGAGTAGCAGTTTAGAATGTCTGAGTGTTTCTGGCTAAAAATAGAAGACACAGTCTCCAGTTTACGTAAAAAGCAGTCAAACCAAATTACCCTTAATTAACGTGTTGGTGTTGGTTCCCAGGAGTTTTACTTCCCTTCCCAGGGACCCAAAGAAGGGAAGTTCACAGACCCTGTGCCCAGTCACGTGCACCAGGCCTTGTCCTAGTTCTCAGGACATGCCCCAAATGGACAAGGGCCCGCTCACCCACAGACAGGAGGCGCCAGGTGACTGCAGGGGTGGCAAAGCAGGCAAACACGTCATCGGTGCAGCAGAAGTGGGTGAGGTGGGGCAGGACCACCGACTGGCCCCGGCACTGGCCCCACATGTACACGTGCCCGCCCTGGGTCTTGGCAGCAGACGTGTGGGTGGAGTGACAGGCCGCAATCTCTATGATCCTAAATTCACAAGCAAACACCACAGGGTTATAGGAAACAGGAGGAAGGGGAGCTGACCCTCCTTCCCTGGGGCACCTGACTCAGACTATCATGAACTAACTAGCTCACCGAAGGGGGTGGGCCCAAGGGGCAAAAAGAACAAGACCTGACAATAAACTCGGTAGCTATTTATTTATTTATATGCCAGAGATGAACCCTGGCTTTCTGTATGCTAACTGGATGCCTATACTGAATGACCCCTGGCTCCAAGAGTCTTGGCTTCATCTAGGGTAAAAATTCAATGATAAACGGTGTATGTTGGGCAGTGTCTAGTGCAGCAATCAGTACAGTAGGAAGGTCTCTCTACTGCTGCTGCCGTAAAAGGCCAAAACCAGAACTTCCTTCAGCAACCTCAATTACATCTCTTTGAACCTATAATTGGGCAATCACACTCCACAAAATAAAGTGTCCCGTGGGCTGAGCCAAAGGAGGCTGTAAACAGAAGGAATGAGAGAAATAAGCAGAAACCAATAGAGACAGTCGGTCAGTTCAGCTGTTTTCCCCGTCAGAACCACAGGGAAATGAGTGCCTGGGTGACATCAAGTGACCCTTTCTGCGTAAGGATTAAAACAGGGAACTTCAGTGTCACGCAATTTCAATGGGCCTGTTTGGGAAATTTGGCTGTTATTAATTCTGATTCTTTAGGTTAGATAAATAGCTTATTTTTAGTTCCAGGCCTGAACGTTTAGCATAAGAGATTCCATTGTATTTCAGCCTTGGACAAGGGTTTGTGCAGGGCAAAGCCATGCCTCTGGTCATTGAGTTAACACTATTGCACACAACTTTAAATGAAAGCGTCTACTTAGAGATGGCACATTGGGGTTGGGAGACCTTCTTGTCTAGTCTCTTCTAACATTTGCATGGTTGTGTCAGGCAGCTTATTTCCATAGCTCGTGCTCTGCAGAACCAGCCTTGCACAATGGGAAAATGGTCCATATGATCTGGCTTCCTAGTAAGTATACATTGTTCAACAGATAAGGAAAATAGGAGAAGTCAGCCAATGATATTTCTCTATAGGAGATAAACGTATCCACTGCTCCCATCAATTTACTGGCAGTTTTCCCCCCTCACAGCAGACCCAAGGGTCTCAATGGCAGCCATTCAGAGCATCCTGGTTCGAGTAAAACACTAGTATTGAGGCAACAGTAGTTTGTATAAGTCAGATCACTTCTAGTCTTATAATCGGCTTTATTATCTTTATTCTCAAAGTGCAAACTTAGACAGGGTGAGGCTACAAAGCAGCCACGCTGTCTCAGAGGCACTGTGGTACAGAAGAAATGAAACAAGGCCCTCTCAATGAGCAGGACATCAAGAGCAGCTTCTTCCTGGAGCTACAGGGGCGGACCGTGGGAGCTCTCCACCCACCTGGAGAGAAGCTTCAGACCAGGGTATGGCAGTCCATCAGCTCTGCCGGGTAACAACAGACCTGCAGCGACTGGGCCCAGCAGGCTTTGAATTTGTCAGAGATACATAGCCCGTGAGACAGAGAAAAACCTAGAGCCAAACACTGGGAGAGGCAGGCATAGCAAGGCAGGAGGGAGGCATCGACAGGAGCGTCTGACTGGAACAGACAAGCCAGTCTGGGGTCACAGGGTTTGCCATAAACCATGGTGTGTCATGCAACAAAGGCCTGTGAGCTCTGTCATGGTCTAATGTGACAGGTGAGTGGGAGAGAGCCCTGAACAGGGAGGTTAGGTAAGAGGACAGTGTTCTAAGAAGGACAATGTACATGACAGCCAAGCCCTGTCACCAAGGTAGAATCAAGGCAGCCTGGATGAACACAGGAAGGAGGAGTCAGAAACGGCCCTGGATGTGAGCTCTGAAAACCCCAACCCCAGGGTACCGGGAGAAGCATCACTGTGGTGGGCTCGCACACAGACTTAGCTAAGCAGCGAATACAAGTCTTTTGCTGTTGTTTGCTTTTTTAGCACTCCCACATCTGACTATCAGTAGTAAAGCTGCTAGCTTTCTCCGAGTTAGAGGAACATTCATTCCACCTTTCTGTGAGCATCAGTAAGCTATTGTTTCTCTCCTCCTCCTGAGATCAGGCCTAGGCTGGGTTGGTTTTGTCAGTGTGTGTGTGTGTGTGTGTGTGTGTGTGTGTGTGTGTGTGTGTGTGTGCGCGCGCAGTTTTTTTTAAGGGAGAAAGAATATGAAGTTGGGTAGTACAGTAGTTTGACTGTGATTGCCCCCCATAAGCTTGTAGGGAGTGGCACTATTAGGAAATGTGGCTTTGTTGGAGTATGTATGGCCTTGTTGGAAGAAGTGTGACACTGTGAGGCTGGGCTTTGAAATCTTATACATGCTCAAGACATTCTCAGTGTCTCAGGCCACTTCCTGTTGCCTGGGAGATAAGATGCAGGACTCTCAGCTAATTCTCCAGCACCACGTCTGCCTGCACGCCACCATATCCCACCATGATGATAACGGACTAAACCTATGAAGCTAAAAGCAAGGCCTCAGTTAATGCTTTCCTTTATGAGAGTTGCCATGGTCATGGTGTTTCTTCACAGCAATAGAAACCCTAACTAAGACAGGTAGGTATCTGAGGTACAGGAGGAAGCCCTGGGAGGAGTTGGGGGAGGGGAATGATATAATAAAATACATCAAATTCTCAAAAAAATAAAAAATAAAAAACAAAGAATTCCTGGGGTAATAGAATATACTTCAATGCTACAGCCACCTGCAACTTGTATAGAGGCCTCAAAAAACAAACAAATATTAAAAATTCTGATACCAAGAATTACTTGGTAAATTACTATAAGTTCTTAGCATATGTGTTTTGTGTCACTTCAGTGGAATGGCTTACATCACTACATAGCCTAATGGCTGTGAAATACTGGAAATGAAAAGGCAGAGTGTGAGAAAGAATATAAAACAAAACAGCAACAGTGAACAAAGACAGAGGTAATTTGTGTTGGTGAACAATGGAGAAAAGCCGTACATGGAAAAGACAAACTTAGAGTCTGATTCCCTGCCATGATTCTGTACAAGTCCAGTGGACTACAGAACACTTCAAGAGGCCACGGAACTACCCAAAATTCAAGGCATAGCTAATTTTACATTACAAGTTATAATATCCCTTTATGAGATAAACTTAAGAACAAGGACACATGTGCCAAACCTTTTCAAAGCTTTTCCTTTGGTTGTCTAATCAGAGAATCCAATGTAGATAGAATTTATTTTTCTTTCACTATGAACAGGCACCTAACAACCATAGACTCACCCCTGCCCCAGCCAAAATTCAATCCCATCCCTAACTAGGCTTTTCTGGAAGGTGCTCCAGTAGAGTCAAAAGGAAGTTATGACGGATGTGTGAGGCTCAGTCACTGGGAAGGGCGGTTCAAGTCCTAGCACATTTGCCACATGCCAGCAACTCAGGCCTGGCTCATACTATGCAAGCTCAGAAACTGCCACTGGAGTTCAAGGCTGGGAAACTGAAGCAACCAGGGAGATGCTTTCAGAATATCTATCCCTGATCTGTGTGCGCAGCAGCAAGGGCAAACGTCCCAAACGGGCCCAGGAGAAACCCCAGTGTTTGGATGTAGAGCCGTGGGCGGGCAGCGCAGGGCCCTGCTAAGCAAGCGACTTCTCAGCCTCCTGCTCTCTCCCGCCTTAGTGACCCACAGTCTGTTCCAGAGTGGACCGTTCTGGATCAGGGGGCGATCCAAGCCAGTCGCTGATGAAATGCTAAGGTAAGTGTGGGAGCACTAGGGGGAGGACTGACGAATCACTTTCCTGTGCGTGCTCCTCTATCTGGCCTTCAGCACTGGTGTTCAGCCTGGGTACTGAGTGTCTCCATTGACTGCACGGGTGGGCTGGGGCATTTTTTAATTACTCGGTTGTGAGTAACTATCCCTTCTGTTTTCACTGACTTCTTTGGACACTTTACAAGACCAGCAAGTGACAGAGTTACAGGCGTCTATGCGCCACTCTTGCCTTCACTACTATTTCCTCTGTTCCCCATTTAGAGACAAAGGCCCTTTCTTCAAACTTTTAGCTGAACTTTTTTTCAAGATCTATATAGATTATATAATATTAACCATGTTTACAGTATGCAAATGAAAATAACAATTTATTAAGAATTCCAGTGGGAGAAAACATAAAAGAACCTAAATGTTAGTTAATCTATTTATCCATGTGTTTATTTTAAATCAAATATAAAAATACTATGTGGAATAAGAATAGGAAGAGCATATTAATCTCTAGAGTGACAGCATCACTGGGATAAAGGGGAAGGACTGTAACGTCTATGTGCCACACCACGAGTCAAGATGGCAGGTGGAAAGGCAGTGACGTGACTACCTGAGGAAGCCAGAGGCTTTCAAAATCATTAGGCTTATCTGGAAATTACTCACGTACATAAAGCCGACTCCTCATTTCCTAGCTTCTCTACATAGCAAAAGTCTGGAAGGTACAACAATGAAATCACCCTGCCTTTCTAGCTGGCCGACTGTGTAAGGAGCTAAGAGACTAGCTTCATACCCCACTCCAAGTACTGTAACTTTCCCAAGCCAAAGAAGAGATCTCAAGCATTACCAAGCTCCCTCTGAGGATAAAAACAAGAAACAGGGGAGAGAGCACTTAGAAGACAGATGCCCACGAAGCTGCTACTGAAATTAATATGCTCTTCCTATTCTTATTCCACATAGTATTTTTATATTTGATTTAAAATAAACATATGGATAAATAGATTAGCTAACATTTAGGTTCTTTTATGTTTTCTCCCATTGGAATTCTTAGTTCTGTCTCTTTGGTTGCCCAGAGCAGCACTGGAGGTACAAGCGACAAACAGGTAAGTGGGGACAGAGTACCATCTCCCCAGTAACTCACAAGGCAACTTTTAAAAGGGAATGAACAGTCTGGCTAAGATTCGTTTAATGCTAGGAATAATTTCCCACAATTCTACACCATGAATTCTAAGTGCTGGTTAATTACTAAAGACCATGATTTGGAAATGTACACATTACCTGTCCTTTTCCACGTCGACAGGGGTGGGGTAGGACTGGTTACTTTTATTGCCAGTGCCCAACTGGCCATAAGAATTTGCACCCCACGCATACACTTGACCTTCATCTGTTAATACTAATGTGTGTGCGTAGCCACAGGCGACCTAGAAGGACAAAACAACCAGACAGACAGACGTCTCAGACCTGTAAACAAAGGGAGCGTTTAACTTTTCCACAGGGGGCAGACTGAGAGACAGTGCTGCATTTAGCACACACACTTCGTAAGGGGCGCAGCCTACTGCAGGGAGCTCTCCAGCACACAGTGTTCTCACAGCCACCGCCCGAGAGCCCAGTGTAAGGCACGTTACTTCTTTCTTCCAGTTACTCAAGTAAAACATGTTTGATGTGGAAAATGAAATGAAAAAAAGTGTAAACACAAAAAGCTTTTCTGGGGGGGGGGAGGAGTAGGGGTCGAGGCAGGGCTTTTCTGTGTAGTCCTGGCTGTCTTGGAATTCACTCTGTAGACCAGGCTAGCCAGGAACTCAGAGATCCACCTGCCTCTACCTCCCGAGTACTTGGATTAAAGGCATGTGCCACCACCACTCAGCTTGAAAAGCTCTCAAGATCAGGGCTCTAGAGGGTTCCCCCCAACTTATTCAGATATAGAAATATGCATTTATGGGGCTGGAAAGATGGTTCAGTCGTTAAAAGCACCGGCTGCTCTTCAGAGGACCCAGGTTCAATTCCCAGCACCCACATGGCAGCTCACACCTGTCTGTAACTCCAGTTCCAGGGCTTCTGACACCCTCACACAGACAAACAGGCAGGCAAAACACCAATGATCATAAAATAAAAAATTTAAAAAACAGGAAAAAGAAATATGTACTAAACAGACTTTTAAGTGGTAGCCTATGTAGCTATCATGTGTCTTTTTTCTCTACCTAATGTTACTTTTATGTTACTTTCTCCCTATTATTAAAAAAAGCTGGGCAGTACACATGCCTTTAATCTCAGCAGAGGCAAGAAGATCTCAGTGAGTTCAAGAAGCCAGCCTGATCGACAGGGCTACAGAGCAAGTTCCAGGACAGCCAATGCTTTTGCACAAAGAAACCCTGTCTCAAAATAAAATAAAACTCCTTTGTAAACTGGGTGTGGTGGCACATAGGAGACTAGCTGCAGCAAGAGAACACAAGTATAGCCTGAGCTAACAGTGAGGCTCTGTTTCAATGTCATCATTCTCACACTGATGGGCACAATCGCCAGTTGTTCACTTACCATTAGATTAGTAAAGTATACAGTGCCTATCGTTTTTATTGAGCATATCTTTTCTTACATTTTTCTTAACCATTTTGTTTATTCTCTTGCCAAGGCTTCCTTTGTTAAAATTGTAACATTAATGCATATTAATTATGCATATTAATGGATTTCACTGTGACTTCCTATGAGACTTTCTCTTTGGTTCCTAAGGAGATTTCTCCTAGAGTAGAATTACAGGTAAAAAGGCATGAAGATTTTTAAAACTGTTGGCATGTGTGCTCTCAAACATTCTTAAGGAAAGGGTGTGCAAGTAACTTTCTCAGTGCAGTTTGAAAAAGTAACATAGAAACAGCATCTCTATGAACAGCTACACCTTAATGCAGGGCAGAGGGAGATTTAAACTTTACTTCAACGGAAGCACCAAACCAGCTGAACTGTTCATGTGTATAGGAAAACCAGACCCACTGCACTGCACACAGACCACCAGGAGACATACCCGCTGGACACGAATGCCTTGCAGGGCTGCCACTCTACAGGGGGTTGGCTGGTTGCCACTGCTGCCCAGGCCCAGCTGGCCATTCCCATTGTAACCCCAGACATAGACCTGGGGAAAGATAAGAAATGTAGCACTCAGTAGTTCAGTTCTGTTTTGGGGAAGCATGTCATGCTTACATGGCACTAAGGAGGAAAAAAAAATCCTTTTTAAACAAATATGAAGTAACTTTTCCTACCTCTCCTGTATCTACAACGGCCATGGAACACATTTGCCCACATGCTATGTTCATAACTACTTTATTCTGCAAGCATCCAGTGACTCTTCGAGGGATGGGCTGATTAGCTGTTGATCCAGATCCTACCTGCCCAGAGTTATTATAACCCCAGGCAAATACCTACATGGAAAAAAAAAAAGACCGATAAACAAACACGGAAACACGGGACTCTAAAGTGTCACAACTGGACACTGACATGTACTTCGGGCATCTCACCGCCCTCTCAAAGAGCTTCACCACTGGTCTCACAACACAGGCAGAGAACGTAGTGTTTTATAACCCTTGTGTTATCTCTACATATAATGCAAAACACCTACTTCACTTCAGCCATATTTGTCAACATTCTGGGACTTCCTAATTTTGCAATAATGGGTCCTTTTAAAATTTGTAGTGATTGAAGGCCTTACTACATACAGGGAAATGTCATAATATAACCATCATACTAAATTGCTACCAAGAATAAGGCTGAGTTTGAGGGTAGTTATTTTAAACATTCCTGCTTATCTCATCATAACAACTCAGGTTAGCTTTCTGACAATCCGGCACAAGCTATATGTGATTGCTATTCTTGGTTGTCAATGTGACTACATATGGAATTAATTAAAATCGTAATTGTTGGGCATTTGTGAGAGATTTTATTTTCTTAATTAAATCGTTTCAGAGGGGATACCTACTTCTGATCTGAATCTCTGAGAGGAGAAGATCCACCCTAATCTGGAAGCCTATGGAAAGGTCCTGGAAGAAAGAAGCTTGCTCTCCTTGCCTGCTTGCTCCCACCTCACTGGCATTAGAGTTTCTTCTTTCACTGGCATCAAAGTTTCCTTCTTCAGGATTCCAGTGTATACTGAAGACCAGTGGAACATCCAGCCTTGTGGACTGTATTCTTGGACCTTCCGTTGGTAGGATGCCATCATTGTACTGGCTAGACCACAACCTGTAAGCCATTCTAATAAATCCCATATATCTTATCTGACTATATCTATATAGATACATCAACAAGATAGATCCCATCTATATCTATATATATATAGAGAGAGATAGATACATATATATGTAAATCTCTATCTTGTCATTCATGCATATATATACATATATATACATATATGCATGAATGATGATAGATAGATAGATAGATAGATAGATAGATAGATTCATAGATAGATAGATAGATTCTTTTTAAATTCTGTTCTTCTCTTGGTCCTACCTCAACTTGATGCACCATGCTTTGCTCAAGCCTATGGGAGGCCTGACCCCTTCTTAATGGAGATGTAGGAGGAGTGGATGGGGAGAAGGGGTGGAGGGGATAAGAGGAGGGAGGGGAAACTGATTGGTATGTAAAAATAAATGGAAAATGTTACTGAAATAAAAATAAATAAGTCTTTAAAAAGTCACTGGGGGAAAAAGAATAAAGTTGAATAATATGTGTCAAGAAAAAATAAAAATAAAAAAATAAATAAACTCTGTTCCTCTATAGCACCGTGACCAATACACTAGAGTTATCTGGGAAGAGAGACAAAGACTCCATCAGATGTCTATGGGCAAGTGTATAGGGCGTTTTCTTGATTAATGGTTGACGTGGCACCTCTGAGCTGGTAGTCCTGGGAGGTATAAGAAAGCAGGCTGAACAAGATATGGGGAGCAACCAAGTAAGTAGAGGTCCTCTATGGCCTCTGTCTCAGTTTCTGCCTCCAGATTCCTGTCTTGAATCCCTTCCTACCTGACTTGCTTGGATGATGCATGGCAGTCTGTAAACCAAAGAAACCTGTTCTTCCCCGAGTTGCTTTAGATCATGATGCTTTATCACAGCAATATAAAGCAAATTCAATTTCAGTGCCTAGTCATATTTGGGAGGCAGTTGAAGGAATCTATAGGACACACTGAAGAGAAAGTCAGTGAGTTTATGCTGGTTATCCTCACCTCGCCATCAGATGTTAGGACCAAAGAATGGTAAGAGCCACAGGCAACCTCAATGACTTGTTTATTTGACAAGTTAGTAGAGATGTGGCAGGGCACCAAACCATGGTTCGTGGTCCCATTGCCCAGCTGGCTATAGGCATTGTGACCCCAGGTGAAGACTTCTCCGTCTGAAAACGAAAGACAGATGAGCAGCCTTCACAGCGCATACTTCTCTGTAGGAGAGGACAACACATGCATCGACTTCCCTTCCAAATTCACTTCCTGAGAGTATCTATTCAGAAACACAAACTGCTTTCCATGTCAAAGCACCATGATGGGATTTAAATCTGTGAGGTTAAAAAAAGCTAGAGGATGGTTTCTGAATAAATAGAGCACTAAAATAAAACAGAGAACACGACATTAAAAGTCAAGAATGTAAGGTGTTACTTAACTCTTCTGGATTTTCATTTCTCTAGAAAAAGATGGTCAATAATTTAAAATTATCTTACTTGTGAAATTATAAAAATTCATGGAACATATGTACAATTTCATGGGTATCAAAGTGTATATACACAGAAGATAGCACATTTCCTCAAAAGTCCTACACATATGCACCTTACATGTAAGAGTTTAGTTTTCTGATTCTTCACTGTGAATAAAAGAATCACATGTATGCTCCCTGCCATCTGTGTTCTCTTCTATATTAATTAGGTTATATTATGAATGACTTCATTTGATCGTCTGGTTTGATTCTCTTTTGTGATATACAAATTGCTATAGAACTTGCCCAATGAATGTTCATTTAATAATTAATTCAATTGTTCACTGGGTCTTTTCCAAATCTTCTATTATGTCTATAGATCCTTTTTCTTCTGCAGATATTTTGTTTTCTGTAATCCATGTTTAATAATCACCCTGTCTGCCACTTCTCCTGGGTCTCAGGCATTAGACCCTACAGGAGGTTATTGGTTTGAACTGAGGTCTTGGTGCTCCATCCAACCAAGTGGGTGCTCACTTGTGCTCATTTTCCACATCAGCAAGCAAGGCTACAGTGTTACCTGACCTGAGAAACCAAGAGGGGAAGAGTGCCAAGAGTCAAGTTCCCAAACAGGACAGCTTCAGCCTGCGAATCCCCAGTTCCCTCTGCTGAGGTCAGCCTGCAAATCCCCAGTTCCCTCTGCTGACGTCACTCCTCTCTGTACACAGCCAACCTCCTGCTCAGCTGATGGTAACAGACCTTTGTGGAGTGAAGCACTGCCCAGTCCTAGGACTGCAAGGAACGGCCAGCTACAGCCCGCAAGCTAAACTTGTAGCTGTGTCTGTGTCCACTGTGCCTTAGCGCCCCACACCCCCGACCATGTGCTGCTCACTGGCATTGAAAAGCTGCTTCTGGTGATCTTCCCCGGCTTCCAATGGAGGTCACTTGCTCTAAGAAGGATGTGCATTAATTTCTACCGCACCCTTAATACACTTAAAGTCCATACCTCTAATTCAAGGCCTGAGGCTCAGACCATGGAGTCTAACGTGACGGAAACCTACAGCTGCCAACTCTGGGGGTGCTTTGCTTCATTTTCTCCTTTTCTTTCCCTGGTGTGCTCCAAGCAGAAACAATTCTGCTGTTCAATCCTTAGGAAGTGGCAAATCCCAGGCTGTGAGTGTAGCCTTTGCAGTCCCAATCTGTGGGAGATCTATTACACTTCAGTTACACGGGACCTTGACCTCTTGACCTGTAACCCTCACTTTAAGAGAACTAACAACAGCTCAGCATCAGCTGAGCAGGTGGGTGCTAAACAGTCTCCTCTACCCTAACTTCACTATTCGCCTCTTCTAAACTGCTAAGCCATCACTCCAGCCCCAGACTTTAGCTATTTTTTGAATGAAGAAATGTTCTGAATAATCTTGCCTATTACTGAAAAGCCCCACCCAAATTCCCAGAACTTGTACCTCAAAGGCATAATTTAATTCTAATGCTGTGTAACTGTGAGTTCATGATGTTGCCAAGAGAATGCTTTCCCTATACTAAGGCCAGCTTTTATCAGTCAGTACTCGATGTGAAGAATTACAGAATGCTTAGAGGGAATGGTGGAATCAACATTTGACCTCTGAATTTATAGGTCAGGAACCTAAGATCAAAGTGTAGGCTTCCTAAGATCCAAAGCAAGCAGAGTTCTCACATAATAATTACACTCACTGCATGGGGAATGGAAGGGCTGGGTCCATTCACTTTCATCCATTTAGACCCCCTGTGTTAAACCACCATACTCTGCTATTCAAGTACAGTCATACTCCATGTTGCCCAACGCATGGCCAAGCCCATAGGGCAGAGCCAGCAATGCTTACTCTCAATTCCAAGGCGTCCTGATCTTATTTCTTAACAAGTAAGCAATGGCCTAAATCTATCCATTGAGCTCCTATTACCTGCTGTTGCAAGGACGATGTGTGGGCCACTCCCATAGCTGAGGCTGGCTATCTTTTTGCCAGTTAAAGAATCCAGTCTCCGAGGCTCAATGGTGCTCTGAATGTCACCTATCCCCAGACAGCCACTGCAGTTTGTGCCGAGCACAAAAATCTGTGGAAAAAATACCCAGTTCAAGGAAGCAAATTTCTGAAAAATCTGTAAGTTACCTCAGACAGTCTTTTCAGACAGGTGGTGGTGGTGCACACCTTTAATCCCAGCACTTGGGAGGCAGAGGTAGGAGGATCTCTGAGTTCGAGGCCAGCCTAGTCTACAAAGCAAGCTCCAGGACAGCCAGGACTACACAGAGAAACCCTGTCTTGAAAAAGGAAACAAACAAACAAACAAACAAAAATTGTCTTTCCGTACTTCTGCTTAAAGGCTTCATTCTGTACTTCCCCCAAGGTCTTCAACTTATAAACCCATTACTAAAAATATGGGTGGTTGAATATTTTTTTCAAAATTACCTCATCATTGACTGTGGTGTATAAAACTTCATTGCCAGCACTGCCAAAGACACAAGCCTGATGAATCGTCTGCAGCTCTTCCTCAGAACAAAGGGAAAAGATTGGCCACTTCCCCACATCTAGCATCTTCAATGATGACAGGGTAGCCTGTACTGGCTGAAAGGAACAAGACTTATGAACTGAGACGACCAATTTCAAACAAACAGAAAACATCCCTTGACTCTTGTTTTTGCAGAGGAAACTGGCTTGAAGAGTAATCCACATCTGGTGTTGTCTGTTGCAGAGAGCCACTCACAGCTGCAGAGCCCACTCTCGAGTACTGCTCCCAGACCAGGTGCCGGTGGCCTGGGCAAAATCAGATCTCAGAGACACCCAACTCATCTAAGTCTGGACCTTGGCCAGCTGAATGTTAGCAGCACATTAAATATTGGCAATGGTTTAAATGCAGTTGTGGAAAAGGTTAAGCAAGTCCAGGCTGGAGGAAGGAGGGAGGCCAGTGCATCTGCTGTCCCTATGTACGGTTACTCAAGCAAACAGATGTAGGTCCCTCTGGGCGAAGGATGGGAGAAGGGCTAACAGTATAACTCGTATACATCCTGGCTAACAGTATAATTCTTAGGTTTTCTAGTGCGATTGTCCCTCTGGGAGACCTGGCCTTCCCTTCACTCAAGGGGTTCTGGGTCTGTAAACTGGCTCCAGCTGAAAACTGACTGATGGGCCAGGAATCCCCATTACTACAATCAAATGTAGCATTTTTCCTTTGCTCTAGAGCCTTGTGCATGTAGAAATTAAACAAAAAACTAAAATGTGTCTATTTTGTCTCAGGAAACACCACAACTGACTTGCCAGTCTCGAAGGTCCAATGCAAGTCATGCCACCATAAAAGTCACTTTCCCTGAGCTGCCCATGGGTCAGGCCATTGTGGACATCACTTTCCCCATGGTCCCATTATGGTGGTAAGCATGTTCATCCTGCCTTGGCGATTCTATGCTGCCTCCTGGCCCCTGCTGCTCTGAGGCCCAATTAAGTCTATCACATTTAATTCATCCAAATGGGGCTGGAGAGTTAAAGGCTATTGGATGAACTGAGCAGCAGCATCTCCTACTCCAAGGTCTGGCACGAGGAAAAGGGTAACGACGAAGCTCTTCAAATGTGCCGGCACCCTCTCACCATTTCTACAGTACTAGTGGAGGCCATGTTTTCTGGGCCTGCACACCGTGGAGGACTAGGTTTTAAGCAACAAATCCACTCCAGCGTTCCAGTTTCCCTGCGTCTTAAAATCCCTTTATCAACACCAAAACAAAGAATATCAGGCCCATTCTCAGTAGATGACTTTTCCCAAATAGTGCAACTATTTTTTTCACTGTGCAAGGTTCACTATTAAACCTCGAGTCTCTGTTCAATGGGTTCATATTGACATTCAGATTGATTCAGTTTTATCTTCCTTCTACCATTAGCCCACCCCTTTAAAGTCCAGACTTCTTCTTGAATGAATTAGTAAACTCATTAGACTCTCGGGGTGCAGAACACTCCTCGTGGACCACACATTCTGCTTCCCAGACACTCCCTGAGAGGCAACAAGGTGTGGACTCAGTAGTCCAATCAGGTTCTAGAAGCACAGAAAGTTCCTGGAGAACCAGTAGTCCCTGGTTCATGATGGAAGCTTGGAAACGCTGGTTCTGCCCTCAGAGAAGGAAGCAGCAGCAGTGTGACAGGACACATCAACTTGGTGGCAGAGGGAAAGCCAAAGAGAAAGAAGCAACACAGCATTTCATCTGGTACGCTAGCTGAAGGTGCCACCCACCATCGAGGCGGGCCTTCCCGCATCTATCAAGGCCATCAGGATACTTCTTCTGGTGAGACACCCTACTCAAGTGACTCTCATTGGTGACAAGTTGACATTCAAACCAACCATAGCATCGAGAACCATCCAGGCAGCTCATGTGCTCACTGGCACCAGCAGCCACAGCTAGCTGGCAGAAACAGCCAACTGTACTAACAGTTTCAGAGATTCAAAAGTCGCAAATCAAGGTGTCAGCTAGCTTGTCTTTCCAGAGCTATCAGAGAAAGGTCTAGTCCAGGCTCTACTTCTTGGTTTGCAGGATCTCTCTTCCTTCTGTCTGTGTGCACTGCCTGCCTTATATGTGGATATCTGTGTGTCGAATATTTCCCTTCTGATAAATGCACAAATCAGATTGGGTTAGGACCAACCTTAAAGACTTCATCTTAACTAAGCTAATTACTTCTTCAATGACCTAATCCCCATATGAACTGATTACACTCTAAGGTCTTGGGTCTGGACTTCAGCACATGATCTTGAAGGTTCATGAAAACCACAACAGTGCATGATAATTTCATGATCATGTGCACTCTCCTAGGAGCATGTCATAAAGTGCTCTCAAAGACAGTCTGCACACTGGACACATGTATTTACTGAAAAAGATCCCCCCAACAATGGAAGCTCCCTCCAGGACCATGGATTAGGAAAAACCACACCCACACCTGTTTTCACAGAGATCTTTTATTAAGTGGGGAAGAAAAGCTAAGTGGCTGTTTTCTGACTTAAGCAGAAAAACAGCAGTATATGACCTTGTTGGTGTAGTTTTTAAGAAGACAAAAAGGGGAGGTCTGTGTTAGGATGAGCTAGGATGCTGTGGTATGTTTTGGTTGGGCATGTTAATTAGGTGAACCAAATGGGGCATCTGATTGCTGAACTTTAATACTTTGAAAACTGGTCCTTGGTAGTCAGCCTCAGGAGGAAAGGTGCCCAAATAAGGGAATAGACCTTGGTGGCAGCTTTGGGAATGTCATCCAATGGTTTAGGAAGGCAGAGGGAATGGGGAAGGGCAAGGCCTGCCAGAACCATGCTCACCACACTTGAGATGGCCAGAGTCCCTTCATTTAACTTCTGAATTTTAAAAATATGCATATATTTTATAAATATACTTATAACAGCCCATATGCCATCAAATGATACTTTAAGGTATTTTCCAGAATAACACCAAACTCATGTTTAATTTTAAAAAACAAAGATTTTCTGGGCTCTTTCTCACCAGCTGCTAACAAACCTTATTAAGGAGTTCTGAGAGGGCCAGCCACTTGCTTGCTTCCGCCAACTGAGAAAGTATTTATTCCCCTTCAGCTTGGAAGTCAGCAGAGGCTGTCTGGGTTGCACCCATCCCTATTAGCGTGTCACTGTGGGGCCCTTACAGACCACTCTAGCACAGTCCCCAAGCAACCTTTATCACCACACCATTGCTGCTGAGAATGAAGGTGAGTTACAGTGAGCACTGATTAAATGAAGGAAAAAACTAATGTCTGACTGCAAGTCCCTACATCCAGCTCTCCTAGCCATGCCTCCCCGGGCAAATCGTAAGCCTCCCTTTCATATCTGGGACAGCAGCGATGGCTGTCACTGGTTCTGGTGCACTAGTTACTATTTCTTCAGTTACTTTTAATACAAGAGCATTTTGCAAGTGGTAAGCAAGAAAAACTCAATTTGGAATCCAGCTTTGTTTTTAAATCTCACATATACAAGAAGCTGCAATTGTACAGATGTATAGAGCAGGTCCCTACTTTTATTGTGGGTATTTCAGGAAACTGAAGATTTTATATGGTAGTGTTATATTAATTTGGAAATCAGAGTTTTTATATGAAAAAAAGAACTCCTTCTAGAGCTTTTGTTACTGTCGAAGCAGGACACAGACAATAGAACTATGATATGAGATTTTAGTCTAAGCATCTATTGTAAATTACCTACCTCCTCATATGAAGGAATCTTATTTTCTAAGAGTTCTGCTTTATTTTTTTTCCTTCTGCAAATTTTAAGAAGAATAAAGTTTGAAACAGCAGCATAAAGAATCTAAAGGAGATGTTATTAGTGGTCTTCTATAGTTTTTTATATATTATCTCTAGTCTACACGATAATCAGACCATAGATTTCGCTACATAATCACACAAGATTAGCACCTGCAAGGTGGGTGAGAACAGACAGAGGCCCATGTGAGTGCTGAGTAAGAAGTTCCCCTAAGCAGGCACAGTGCGGGAGGTCCGGAGTCTGTGCAGCTCACCACAGTCCTTAACGGCTGCTCAGCATGCGCTGCCGAGATGCAACGACTGGCTAGGTGCTCCCTCAGCTGTTTTTCCTCTCAAGCGTGTTTACGGATTTTATCCTGCCCTTTGCTACAAAGTCAAGAGGCTTCCTGAATACTGAGAATCAAGTGGTAAATTCCAACCAGTTCCTAAACACTTGTCTACAAGCATAAGTTTGTACTTTCTCCTTGGTCAGCTTGTACAGATGTGCATAGCACCCGGCCCCTGATTCCCTGACCACTAGGATTCCAATGAGATCTATGTGATCGGCTGTCCTACATTTATCAGTGCTGCTGAGCAGGACAATGTCAGGTATGGTAGCATTACTGAATTAAAGACACAAAATAAGACGTCCCTATCCCCTCCCAGGTCACAATCCAATGGAAAGTAGATACAAACAGCCTGTGTACACCACACATACGAATACATTACTTTTAAAATCTGTCAGACAGCTAGATGCTTGGCTTGGCAACAGTCATCACAACTCCATTTTTCACGTCTGTGAGGGAACTATTACATAGCAAACTGATAGCTTAATTTATAAATGCATATATTTTTTGGAGAAAAAATTTAGTAGTAGCTTCATGGAATTTGTTCCAGGACATTTATGAGGTAATGTACAAAGATGTTGGAGCCTTGATCATCTGTCAACCATTATGTGTGCCAAAAATATCTTCACTCGCATCTTCAACTGCTCTATGCCCACTGTCAGGTGAGGGATTAGCTGAGGAGCTGGTGTGCTAGTTAGCTTTTATACAACTTGACACAATAGGTAGGGTCATCTGTGAATAGGGAGTGTTAATTAAGAAAATGTCTCCATAGGACTGGCCTGTGAGCAAATCTTATGATTGCTGTGGGAAGGCCCAGCCTATTTTAGGTGTTCTACTACTAGGCAGGTGGTCCTGGGGCATATAAGAAAATGAATAGGGCAAGCAAGTAAGCAGCACCTCTTCATGGCCTCCATATCAGCTCTGCCTTCAAGTTCTTGTCCTGGCTTTTCCAGTGATGGTCTGTGATGTGAAAGTGTAAGCCAAAATAATCCCTTTTCTTTCCAAGTTGCTTATGGTCATAATGTTGTTTCACAGAACAGAAACCATAACGAGGACAACTGGTCATGAGCAAGAAACATGTGGGGAACTGAACTCTTCAAGGAAATAAGAGCCTTGCAATTGTCACCATTAAGATGGTGTCTACTAAGTTCAGCTCCACGGTGATCCAGGTACCTACCTGACTATACATTTACTTCCTGAGGTGTTCCTGTACATCCTACCCATCACCCCTACCTGTGGCTGGCATCTCTTTGCAAAATGCAAGTAATGAGATGATAATACTCTGCCAGGGAAAACCTAACACAGGAAATACACCTGCAATGAATTAGAGACTAATATACATTCTGAGTGTGTGGTCTGGAACAGATTCTGTAGCCACTGAGAAATCCCCTGGGTGACCACAGCAAACTGGCAAGCAGTTACAATTCAGTGAAAATACAGCCCTATATAGAAAAATCAAAACGACATGTTGGGCATGCCTAGTAAAACGATATCTAAAAAAATGCACCACCTCACCTTTGAGGATTTTATATGTATCATTTTATATGTAATAGGGAAATTTCACTGCTGACTCTGCGAACTTATTTTTTTTTTAATTTATGAAATCTGTTCCCAGGAGGAATTAGGAATTTTTCTATTAACTCCTGTGTGTGTGTGTGTGTGTGTGTGTGTGTGTGTGTATGTGTGTGTGTGTGTGAGAGAGAGAGAGAGACAGAGAGACAGAGAGACAGAGAGACAGAGAGAGAGAGACAGAGAGAGAGAGACAGAGAGACAGAGAGACAGAGACAGAGAGAGAGAGACAGAGAGAGAGAGAGAGACAGAGAGAGACAGAGAGAGAGACAGAGAGAGAGAGACAGAGAGAGAGAGACAGAGAGAGAGAGAGAGAGAGAGAGAGAGAGAGAGAGAGAGAGAGAGAGAGAGAGAGAGAGAAGCAATAGAGCCATAGAGACTTAGAAGAGAGCCTCAGGTCCTCTGAAGCTGAAGTTGCAGGTGACTGTGAGTCAAGTGACAAGGGTTTGGGAACCAAGCTCTGGTCCTCAGCAAGACCAACAATCACTCTTGATTGTTGAGTCATTTCTCCACTTAATCCTCTACGATTGTTTTCTAAGTCTCCCAGTTCTGTTATCAGTTTTTAAGCTACTTTTACAAATTCCTACAAGGGTTCACACACAAGCATTCATGTCAGCATGTGGTAGGATTTCAAAAGTTTAGTTGTTCTGTACACTATGCTGGCTTTATATACTTATTATACAATTATTATAATTTTACCTTTTTTATTTCCTAGAGTAGAAAAAAGACAAAAGAAAGTAACAGTTAATATTAAACTGTTTCATGGAGGTGAGCAGATACTTTGTAAATTTAATATAATAATACAAGACAACAACCAACAGGCAGGCTGAAAGATATGAAGCAATATCCACTGGATACAGGATGGGAACAATATCCACTAAATACAGGATGGGAACAATATCCACTGGATACAGGATGGGAACAATATCCACTGGATATTACATGGAAAACTATATTCACTGGATACTGCATGAGAAACAATATCCCCTAGATACAGGATGGGGAACAATATTCACTGGATACTGCATGGGAAATGGTATTCATTGGATACTGTATGAACTTAAGCTGATTGACTGTAATGTTCAGATGTGATGGAAAAGAATAAAAGAACATGATGAGTTGGAAGCATATTTTCTTATGATTTTTTAAAAATGTTTTTCAATATGTGGGGAAAGAATAAACATTATTTGAACAAAGCCTTTTACAGTCACCATCTGTGAGCAGAAGTCTTTGTTCCTTATCAAGTTCAAATGCCACCATCCCAGGGAGCCCTTTCCCAACCCCCAGGTGACATGTGTTCCTTGCTGGCCCTGGGCACATCCTCTATCCCCCATACAATTAATTATTGGTGTGCCAGGCACCACACTGCATCTTCTCCAAGGAAGACTTACATGCTCCTCTCACCAGGTGAGCAACAGATATGGTTCATGCAACAAAATATGCATGCTACGAGGCATGCTTTTTTCTAACCTTGCCACTTTCTCCATAGAAACCAGGTAGTTCTTCTTCCATATGGACTCAGTCCTGTGCAGTCCCTGAGGAAAAAGTATGTGGTAAAATCAGGAGCCCATGCCAGCCAGAAGGAGGTACATAGAAAACTGCTTTAGTAAGCACTTGGGAGGTTAAAGAATTAGAAAGATGCCTAGGCAACAAGGCAAGACCTTGTTCCAAACAAACAAAATGACTTTACTTCTAATTAACAGGGAAACTAAGTCCCAAAATGGTAAATTGGGTGACAGAAGGATTAAACCTTTAGCATGGGAGTCAACAGCTATAAGTCCTACAAGCACTTTTCAATGTTCAGGAATTCTTAAAGGAATTATCCTCCTGAAGTCTGGGAATGTCATCCTGCAGAAATAGAGGTCCTTTCTATCTACAAGGAAATTAGCAAGAACTTCCATCTCACAGATGACTTTTCTATTGATGGGGAAAAACAAATTCTAGACCTTGGCCAACTTTTCTGAGACTGGAAAGCTCCAAATCACGGTGAAGACCAGACTTAAGAATTCTCAACTCCTGAAGACTGTATGATCTGCTAAGCTGGAAAAAACAAAGGAGAAATGAATGAAAAGGATGAATAAAATGAATGAGTGAATAGATGGATGGCTGAATTAATGAATGCAGCTTGTTGTCCTGGACTTTAACAACAAAAAAGTTTGAAACAAAAGCCATCAAGTATGTATCAAGATCACTGAATATTCTTTCCTTAGTAATTTCCTGCCATCACATCAAAGTGACAGCAAGGGTTGAGGTGACAGCAGGGGCAGCCCTCCTGGAAGACATGAAGAGTCTTCCCTATGGTTCAACCATTACACACACACTAGCTATCCCAAACTAAAGTAGCGTTTATCTCCAAAAGGCAATTTAATAGAACTAGATGCAATAACATTTAATGTTGTCTAATTTATTAGTTTTGCTCTGATTACTTAAATGCAATGCATACTACAACTTTTTATCACAGCATTTTATTTGGTATTTGCTGCAATAGATGTAGAACTAGAAAAGCTAGATTAAAAATGATGCATTCCTGTAATGCCAGCACTTGGGAGACAGACGCCAGCCTGGTCTACAGAGTGAATTCCAGGACAGCTAGAGCTACACAGAGAAACCCTGTCTCAGAGGGAAAAAAAAATCAAGCCAGTTGGTGATGGTGCACGCCTTTAATCCCAGCACTCAGGCAGAAGCAGGAGTATCTGTATGAGCTTGAGGCCAGCCTGGTCTACAAAGTCAGTTCCAGGACAGCTAAGGCTGTTACACAGTGAAACTCTAGGTCGAAAAACCAAAAAAGAGAAAAAGAAAAGAAAAGAAAATTAAACAGGTCAAATGTCACCATGGCCTTTATCGATGTTTTATATAGCCTTGATGAAAATTTTCTCAATTCTTTCAATTGCAAGTAGGTTTTTATAAACAGTAAGACATTTAGAAAGCCTGATTTTAAAATGAGAACAATGTTTAGGAAGTCAATTTTAAAAAGACATCCTTATATTTAAAAGCTTACTTAGGGACTGGAGACGAAATTCAGGACTACACTTTTGCTGACCCAAAACCAAAACTAAAAGCGATTACTTCAAGTTTCTCTTGTAAATTTATATGACTTGATCTGGAAAAATATTTTTCCATATTTAATCAGCATCCCACATTACAGCACTTGAGCATAACTACTGAAACCCCAGCATCTTTAAGTGCAGCATGACTGTTACTGCTGGGGCTCCTGACCAGCCCCGGGCTGGCCTGTTATATTCCTCAGCACTTCTCTCTGCAAACTCCAGCACGCACCTCTTCTGCCTCGTCAATTTTTCTTGTGTGATTTCTTTTCTCTACTAATCAGCAACTCTTTCAGGGAGGACACCACAGTCCTTTTACTACTAGAACCACGTATTGCTCAGAGTAGAACATAACGCATATAATGTTCCAAGTACTGGGAAATGGGGCCAGATATTGGGGGCTGGCATGCCCATTTGAGTCACTCTCCCACACCCCAGTTCTGGAGATCAAATCTAGGATCCTGCCCATGCAGAGCAAGCATCCTACACTGAGTCACAATCCTTAGCCTAAGGATCTGGGGGTGCCCCTACCCCCTTTCAGCATCATCCTCCCTGTCAACACTGTTTGCATTTTAACACTGAAGTCACTAGAGTAAGAAGAGACATTTGGGCTTAAGGGCATAGTTCAATGAGAGTGCACTGGCTTGGCATGTATGACGCTCCAGGTTCGATGCCAGCATCACAGAAATAGAAAGAAGGAAGAAGAAACAGGCAAGAGACTGATGAGGAAGAGAAGAAAGGAGGAAAAACTTCACAGGCAGGGGGGAGGGTGATGGAGACGAGAAAAAGGAACAAACATGGGGTTAACTGCCCTCACCACCCCTTAGGTCTCCCGTTGCTGAAAGGGAGGGGAATATTCATATGTGCTAAGGTCAACAATTGGGAATCCTGAGTTTTTTTTTTTTTTTTTTTTTTTTTTGGTTTTTCGAGACAGGGTTTCTCTGTGGCTTTGGAGGCTGTCCTGGAACTCACTCTGTAGACCAGGCTGGCCTTGAACTCACAGAGATCCGCCTGCCTGTGCCTCCCGAGTGCTGGAATTAAAGGCGTGCGCCACCAACGCCCGGCTCTGAGTTTTTTTAAGTAGAAAAAAAAATGACTCTAAGGTCAGAGATTGGGAATCCTGAGTTTTTTTAAGTAGAAAAAAAAATGATTCCTTTCAGTATCTTTCTTTAATTACTGTAAGTATAACCAACTCCTTAAAAATAGTAAAAATAGTCCATTCTATTTACTGAATTGGTCAGGTTAAAATGTAACTATATGTATGGCACATGGAAATTACATATTCAAAGAGGAAGTATTAATTGGAGCCAATTAGGATTAACTATAATACTAACTTTATGTTATTCAGTGTCAGTCAAAATTAAAAAGAACTTAGCAACTAACTACTAAATATGAAATAATGCACACACATCCCCTAGTTTTGTTTAAAAAAAATAGTAAACTTGTTTTCTACCGTGTCAGTGACACCTATAACAGAGAAAAATCAATTTCCCTGCTTTCTATCACTTGGGGTAAAGTGTGTAGAGGTTATAGTGGCCTCATCCTGTCAGCTGCAAGATGCTTGTACTATTATTATTAGCACTGTAAACCGCATGCAAGGTGTGAAAAACACTGGCATTTAGAGTGCAGGTTGGCGCCTCATTTAGAGTGCAGGTTGGCGCCTCATTTAGAGTGCAGGTTGGCGTCTCATTTAGAGTGCAGGTTGGCGCCTCATTTAATCTTCGCAATATCAAGACCAGTAGTCACAGAAACAAGGCACAGTCTGCCCCTCACCTGAAGAGTGGATAGAGAAAATGTAGTACATTTACACAATGGAGTACTACAATGGAATCTTGAAATTTGCAGGGAAATGGACAGCACTAGAAGAAACCATCCTGAGTGATGTAACCCAGTTGCAAAAAGAGAAACACTCATTTATGGATTTTAGACATGAATCAGGAGAGTGCCTGCATACACTCCCACTGCCAGAGAGTCTGGGAAACAGAACCTTCATCCAGCGACTGATGAAAGCAGAGGCAGATACCCACAGACAAACACTGAACTGAACTCCTGGAATCCAGTGTCAGAAAGAGAGATCTGATGGGCAAAGGAGTTAAGTCTGGGCTGGTTTAACACACAGAAACAGTTGACCTAACAAGGGGGAGCTCTTGGACCCCAGATTGATGGTTATGTGGAAAGCATAGGGCTAACTCAGACCCCCTGAAGGTCAGTGAGGAGGCCTAGGTAATCTATGGGGCCTTGGGTAGTATTTGTCCCTGGTGTACAAATAGACTTGGAGTGCCCAAGCCACAATATGGGATGCTCTCTCATCTGGGACTCTTGGGGGAGGGCCTAGGCCCTGCTCTGGATGAAATGACAGATTCTGGAGATCCACCATGGAGGGCCTCACCCTCACTGGGGATCAGAGTGGAGATTGGGTGGGGGACTGGGGACCTGGTGGGGAGGGCAGGAGAGGAGGGGAGGGAGAGGGAGCTGGGATTGACATGTGAAACAAGCTTGTTTCTAACAGAAAGAAAGAAGGAAAGAAAGAAGGAAGGAAGGAAGGAAAGAAAGAAAGAAAGAAAGAAAGAAAGAAAGAAAGAAAGAAAGAAAGAAAGAAAGAAGGCACAGTTACTGCCTCGGTTTTAGTAACCCGACCCATAGGAACCGCCAGTCAGAGCAGAGCTGAGAAAACCCAGGGGTGCTTCCAAAGCTGCTGCTCTCGGATCCCCTCAGCAGGCATGTCCAACCTGCCACCCATTGGCTGCAATCATGAGGCAGAGGACAGCCACGAGTGTGCCCTAAACCAAATTCAAAATTACTGAAACCATTCTGAGATTTGTTTTGCAATTTCTTTGTAATTTGAGTGGTTCTCAAGTTGAATCTTGTAAATGATGACATCATTTCACAAGTCCACAGTGGATTTGCCTGCTCCTATGACAAGGATTATAAAACTTTCCTGTGTCCATCACAAACACTATTACTCTATACACAATGGCCAGGACCCCTCCCTCCACAGACATCTGTACCTGGTCGCTGGAGAGTTCTGGAGCCCCAAATTTGGTCCTTGTAAAGTTGTCTTCCAGAAAGGAGTTAACGTGACTAAAAATATAAACACACAAATAAATTCTATTAGAGAAACTGAAAAAGAGAATATGCTATTTCCCAACGTTAACAACCTATTATTCATTAAAGGAAACTGTTTCTTAAATTGCATCAGCTCTTATTTAAAAAAATCAGCAGTAGAGGTACTCAAATATAAAATATTAAAAACTTAAGGTGCAACTTTTGGATATTTTTTATAAGTTTCAAGACAAGATTTTAACAGTGTGAGCAATGGAACAGATGCAAAAATATGTATTAGAGAAGCTTGGTTTTGGTTTTGGAGACAGGGTCTCCTATGCAGCCCTGACTGACCTGGAATTCACTATGTAGATGGAACTCTAGATCCACCTACCTCTGCCTCCTGCATACATGTGCCATCATGCCTGGACACCAGATAAAGTCTGATTGTACTCTTCAACAAAAGAAGTCACATGAAATATAAAAACAGGCAAACTTCACACTTCTCCAAGTATAGGAAGATTTCCTTAGGCTTCTTCGTTTGTCATTGAGACAGGGTCCTTCTTTATAGCTCAGGCTGGCTTCAAGTTCGGAATCCTGCCTCAACCTCCCCCATGCTATGTTTATAGGCGTAGGCTTCTCACTCAGCAAGAGCTTTCTTAAATAAGACAAAAAGGAAGGCACAGACCACAAAGAATGGTGGTCTAAGATTCTGCACAGCATGGGAGAAGATGGTTGCGGCATGCGGAACTGACTGAAGCCGAGGGACTAGAGGAACAAGGGTACAGGCTACTAACAGCAGTCACTGCACTAAGAGCTGCTCAAGTTCAACACGCAATTCATCATGGGAACACAAACACAGTGAGTCCAGCCTTATCCACTAGACCCACAGAAACTAAGCAGGAACAGTGCCCAGTGATAGTGGAGACAAAGACGCATTGTATAAGGCTAAAAGGACCACAGATTAATTCAGCCACTCTGAGGAACAACTCCAGTGTTTGGATCACCACAACATCTTCTGGGTTTTTTGTTTTATGGTGTTTCTTTTTAATACATATATGGAATCTGTTATGGTATGGATTTCAAAAATTTCCCCCAAAACTCAGGTGCTCAAGGTTTGGTCCCTAGTGCAGCAGTGTTTGGAGGTGGACTTTGGGAGGTGACTGGATTGTGAAGACTCTAACTTTATCAAGAGATTAATTGCTGCACTCATAGCTTCATGGGCTACAGGAAGATGATGGGAACCTTTGAGATAGGGCCTAAGAGCAGTGGTGGCACACACCTTTAATCCCAGCACTCCGGAGGTAGAGGTAGGCAGATCTCTGTGAGTTTGAGGTCAGTTTTTCTACAAAGTAAGTTCTAGGACAGCCAAGAATATACAAAGAAACTCTCTCTTGAAAAACTGGGGAAGGTAAGGACTAGTTGGAGGAAGCAGCCTACTGAGGATATGCCCTGGAAGGATGTGTATGTGTGTGTATTTAAGTGAAATATATATATATATATATATATATATATATATATATATATATATATATATATATATGTTTGTCTGTGAATCACATGTGTGCCTGCTATCCACAGAGACTCCGGAAGAAAAGAGCAGCCAGTGCTCTTAACCACTGGACCACCTCTCCAGCCCTAAGGGTATATCTTATCCTTGGCCCTTTCCTCTCTCCATTTCCAGCCTGCCACAATGTAAGGAGTTCAGGGCCACGATTCTTGGCCACTGGCCAAAAGCAACAGGCCTGAAACCATGAGCTAAAGTAAATCTTCCTCCATTTGAAAGGTTTACTTAGGCGTTTGTCATAGAAACACAAAGCTGACTATATACCACTGAAACAAAATCTCATAAAATAATTCTTACCCTCCTACACCAGAATCTTCACTGCTCTGCTATTCTGCCCTTCACCATCCTGCGTCATTCCATCATATTTCAATGCTAAAAAAAGTTGTTAAAGTGACTTCATCCTGTTTTTTTAAAAAAATCTCACCTAGATGTACCCTGCAGTAGCAAAACCAGAGAAAAACCCCTAAGAAAGAGTAAACAGGAGAGCAAAATCTACCAACCGGGCTGACAACCAGTGAGACAGACATACCATGCATCAACTAACAAATTCTCCAGGGGCCTAAGGAGATGGCTCAGCAGTTAAGTGTGCTTCCTGTTCTCCCAGAGGACCACGGGCAGCTCACAACCGCTTGTACTCCACCTGCAAGGGATCCAACGCCTTCTTCCAGTCTCTGTGCACATGCACACACGCACACACGCACACACACACACACACACACTTAAAAATAAATCTCTAAAAGTAATTTTCTAGATTTAGCAATGTTGAACAAATTGCCACAATACAAAATAACACAAATGTTGTAACTGACCATTTGATAAGGCTTAAGAGCACAGAGCAATCAGCCCTCATTCATTGTGTTACCGACGACCACAGAGTACATGACTGGGCTTTGATAAGGATCCATGTAACTATTACAATGACTCTGTATACCACCACTTTTCCAGTCACAAGACAGTTCACTGCGAGTCACTGTGCTAGCACATACATATAATCCCTGTCCTTGGGAAGATCAGGGGTTCAAAGCCAGCCTGTAAAGGGGACAAGGTTAACCAATATGAAAATCGGAGTACCACCATGTTGACTTTGCTTTTACTAGAGACAGAGAATGTCATAAAATATTGATAATAAACCAAGATTTCTTCTGCCATTTTAAAAGTAAACTATAGTATAGAATGATACATGCCCTGCAAGGAGAATCTGAACTAGAAAAAAAGTGTTTAATATCAGTTGTGCTAGGATAGCTCAAGTGTTTACTATATGTGCTCTAAATTAGGTTCCAGGTGCCCCCGTTTTCCGATGGGAAGGGTGTGTTTCTGGACGGCAGAGTAGAGGCTGGTATCTATATCGGGACAATTCTTCAGTGACTGGTATAGCATAAGTTGGCCCCTTGCTAGGAGATGATAGTGGGGTGCCCTACTGTCCTACTGAACGTCAGTCACTTCACTGGTCCTGTCTCTCCCATCTGCTCTAGGCTACATGACTTGGTTCATATATATACACCATAGTGAGCTCTGCAAAAATAGTTTCCTCTACATTTCCTCATTTAGTTTAAAGTAACAAAAATAACATTCTGGGATATCACAGTTTGATAAACAAACCAAAATGAGAAAGGAAGGCCTTCTCTCAGTGGAAGCTCCATCCCTAAAACCTCCCAAGGCTCACAGCTGGACACTCAGGAGCCAACAGCTGGACACTCAGGAGCCAGCCTTCCAATGTTTGACTAATCATTCTTCAAAGTCAAATAAATATCAAGTAGGATCATATGCTGTATGGTATTTTTTTAATTCCAGCTGTTTTCTTAAACTTTTATCAATTAGCAATTTATATCTAAATTATCCTTGATTCAGACAGACAATTCTTCATTTGAATATATTATATTTTGAGAGTTTTCTCTACAATATTAGTAACGATGTAGTCAAGGATTGGCAGACAAAGATAGCTTTTTTTTTTTTTTTTTTTGGTTTTTCGAGACAGGGTTTCTCTGTATTGCTTTGGAGGCTGTCCTGGAACTTGCTCTGGAGATCAGGCTGGCTTCGTACTCACAGAGATCCGCCTGCCTCTGCCTCCCGAGTGCTGGGATTAAAGGCGTGCGCCACCAACGCGTGGCTTTAAAAAGACAGTCTTTATAACATGACAAACATCCCTTCCTAGTCCTCACTGAGAACAGGGTCATTCATGTCCCTGTACAAAGCAAAGAATACACGGTATATACAGGCTGTTGATGAAATAATCAGCATTAATGAGTGCGTCCCCAACTCCATGTGGCACATTACTTGGAAGTAAGTGACATGCGAGGGAGTTAAGATGATTATAGAACACATGATCATTTGCCTAATTACTGCTTGTTATTTTCAGTGACTAGAAAATAAATATGTAAAAGAACAAAGCACGGTACTGTGAAGACAGAAGATCCAACTCTCAAATGCTGTGGACAGCAAATAGGCTAGTTAACCAGAGGCTTCTAAATGCTGATAGTTACCTATTAGAAGTGGTCCCAAAAGAAAATAAATAAGGGGAGTGGTATCTTCAGAGAAATCTAAGAGTTGTTTTAAAATTCAATTCAATGAGATCAGCTCTAAAGTTACACTGGAGCAACAATATATAAGAAGTTGCCTTGCCGGGCCTTTAATCCCAGCACTTGGGAGGCAGAGGCAGGCGGATCTCTGTGAGTTCGAGGCCAGGCTGGACCGATAGCCTCCAAAACAATACAGAGAAACCCTGCCTCGTAAAACCAAAAAAAAAAAAAAAAAAAAAAAAAAAAAGAAGTTGCCTTGTGATACATAACTCTATGCTACCACCACTTCTCCCATCTGAGGAACTTGTTAAGGAGGCAAAGAGAGGGTTAAGCAAAGCGGTAGGAGGGCATCAGAATGTAAGGCAGCTGCAGACGTAGTAAATGCCAGTGGGTACCCCAAGCATGTTTGCTGAGTAATTTAAAGGTATCATTCATGTCTTTTATTAGTGTCATCCTTGAGTTATAGGTAATATATGTATATTGTCACTTGCACTGGTGGTGATTCAGTTCCTCTTGAAGGAGATGCTGGCAGTCACAAACAGTAACAGTAGGACACCTAACCAGCTGCTAGTTGCACTGGGGTGCTTATAAGCGGGTGGACAGAACTATGCCATGAGCAGCGAGAAAGCCAGCACACCCACAAAGGAGACAGTGTTGCCGGATGCTTCCGGAACGCAAACACTGTGTGGTGGCTGCATAGTTGAGTTGTTGCTGTAATTGTTTTCAAAAACAGTTTCCAAATCGCACAGTGGGTTTTGGAGTAAATCAGCCCACAGCAATGCTGGGAGTCTCTTCGGATTACTGAGAATGTCATCACCAAGTGGAAAACAGTCAACATAAACTAAAATACATTTTACGTTGCTACATGAAGGTCATGGGCTGGCACAGAAAGCCACTTGTAAGTCCATATAAGATTTAATTTCTTATACATTCAATACTTAAATAAACAGATATTAACAGATGTGGTAGCTATTATCCTATTAAAGACCCTGGTTCTACAACATTAATTCCTCGACCTCCACTTGTTTCCTCTTAGGAATCCTTTTGTAGACATTTGGCATAAGATCGAAAACACTGCATCATTAGCTATCACTCACTAGCACTTGTTAGCTCAAAATGTATTGGTGGGGAGGGACACAAAATGCATACTAACTCAGGTTAGATTAGCAAAGCTGAAGATATTAAAAACACATACTTTGATGTCAGATTGATGTTTAATAATCTATTATGATTTCAATTTCCTGGAGATCATCATATTGTTAGAATGAGGTAACCATGTGAAAGAGACACGTGTTCCCTGCAGATAAGGAAAGCTGGAAGGATCAAGAGGGGCAATCCATCTACTTAAGGGGGCATTCCCACAGGGACCTCCTTGTTTTCAGTCTGAACAGAAGGCCTTAATGCCTCTCTGTCACCCTGATAATTCTGTCCCCATCTCCCTTTCCTGAACAATTTTAGTTTGTAATAATGCCAAATAAACTTTGACAATTGCAGTATCTTCATTTCAGATCTGTTAAAACTGAAATTAAATATGATGATCTCCTGTGGACAAAAGCAAATTACTAAGAGCTCCTTACAGCTACACCTATACAGTGGTAGTCTCTTACTGCTTGAACATGGAGTGTCTGTGACCTACTTTACTTAAAAATAAAAGACCTCAGAGGAACTACACTTTGCTGAAACAGTTATTTTCTATCAAGTCCTCTACAGTCAAGAGCCAATGGTTTCTTAGATCTCTCTGGCTTGTACAAAAGCTCTAATAGAGATCACTGAATATCATCATGACATAGCATCACACTAGCTGTCCCCATGACTTAATGTCAGGGATCTTAAGAAGCAATTGCAAGGTACAATAAAATAAACCAGCATACAGTGGGACTGTTGCAGGACCCAAACTCCATCAATACATACTCTGTGAAAGTTCAAGTCACTTACAGAAACTGTAACAGCCAGGGCACATCCTCCTTTCTGTGTATTCTCTTTTCTTTCTTTCTTTCTTTTTTTTTTTTTTTTGAAGATTTATTTACTATGTATAGTGTTCTGCCTGCAAACTAGGAGAGGGCACAAGATCTCATTATAAATGGTTGTGAGCCACCATGTGGTTCCTGGGAATTGAACTCAGGACCTCTGGAAGAGCAGCCAGTGCTCTTTACCTCTGAGCCATCTCTCCAGCCCTCCTGTGTATTTTCAGTCAGACACAGAAGTAACATCCAGTGTAAATGCTTTGCAGATGGTTGCTATCCCTCCAGGCTTGGTGCCTGTAATTTAGGTACTAGACAGCTGGAGGAGGAGGATGCTAAGGAGTCGTTTCAGGACAGTCTGAACTAGGGAACTACAGAGTGAAAACATGTCTTAAAAGAAAAAAGATCAAAAAGTTGATATCCTTTCTTGCTTAGTTAACTAAGACCCCCCCTCAAAAAATTCTGTATGTTCAGTAAATTGCTTTCATAATATTTCCAATTCAAGATTTGTTAAATCTGTGCTTACAAAACTAAGGATACAGATGGTTGGCTATATCGTTGATCTAAGCACATCCACAGTGGTTTTCTGGTTAGTCTCTCCTATGGGAAGGATTCTAGTCTCTTCACTGTCTGTGGTGAGTTAAGTTGAAAAATCCTGATACTTTTTTTGGGAGGGGGAATTTCGAGACAGGGTTTCCCTGTGTAGCTTTAGAGGCTGTCCTGGAACTAGCTCTTGTAGACCAGGCTGGTCTCAAACTCACAGAGATTAGCCTGCCTCTGCCTCCTGAGCGCTGGGACTAAAGGCGTGCACCACCACTGCCCAGCCAATCCTGATACTTTCAACTCTCACCTATACACTATAAAGGATGGTGACATTTGTCATAGTGACCCTGCTGCAGTCCTCAGGCCAGAGCATGGAAGTATTTCCTCCTAAAAGGACTTTTTATTCCACCATAAATATGACCTTCCACACTCACCAAGTGTTTAAAAATCACAAACCACCTCTGCACTCACAATCGTATTTCGTTTTTGGAGCATTTAACAATTTCTGGCAAAAGTATTAACTGTTAGTTGGTCATCATCTTTCACAAGAATGCAGGCAACCAGAGAGGAGAGATCTTTTTATTCATTGCTAAACCCCAAACACCTAGGATAACATCTCCTATAAAATAAATGTAACAGGAGTACAAGTTCTGCACAAAGTCTCCCTAGAGAAAGTAGATTTCAATCTTTCACTCACATAGTTAACAAGTACCTTGTAGGTAAAGATTGTGGGGCAGACACAAGAGAATCATAGATTTGTATAATATCAGATAGCCACCAAGTGCTACCAAGCCGAGGATAGGACAAGAGGCCGGAGAATCAGAGCAGGGGCTGTTTTAGACGGGCAAGTTCTCCCTCTGAAGTGATGCCACTGTTTCAAGATGTAAAGTCCACTTCCTTGTGACCATGAAACAAATGCACAGGCTCTGGAATGGTGGTCCACTCAGGAAGGCCCCAGACAAGGCCTGCATGGTGGGAGTGTTGTTTAAGATGAGTGTCATTCCAGTGGCCCTGCTACTCGGTAAAGTGTATGGGGCAGTTATCAATGGGAAACAAGGAGGTTACATTTCACCCAATGCATTCTGAATCTCCAAGCAGTCACTGGATCCCAGCTATGAAACGTCTGCGGCAGCCCATCGCACAAGACTACAAAGCACAGAAGTAAGCGCACTGTTAGACGCTCTCCATAGCAGTGCCTGGCCTCTTGAAACTGACTTACCCACATGCCATCGCCAGTAAGGTGACAGACTTTACAGAGAAGGCGCAAATACAGAGGAACCCAGTATCCGTTAAACAGTCGACTATCACAGAGCATGCACAAAAACGCAACTTCCACAGGACTGTTTGGGAATTCCATCACTTTTATTCGGCTCTGACAGGGATTAAGTCACCAAGTAACGGTTCTGGCAGGATGGAAAACATTCTAAAGAGGGACGCTTGTGTCGTTTCCTTCCGCTACCAGGCTTTGGATTCCAAGGAACTGTGACTGGAGCCCAGACAGGATGGGTCAGTGACGGGCCGGACCACACCTGGACCGGGCCACCCACTTATGCCTATCTCTCGCCCGCTACGTCAACCCACACTTCCAGTTAGGAAATTCCCAACGCGGCTCCATTGGGGAAAGCTGTTTTTCACTACTGTCTCGTCAGGTGCTCTGAGGTGACCGAGCACAGTTCGGGCCGCCAGGGCAACGGCCGGGTGTGACAGAAAGCGTCTTTCCTTTAGTGTCCTTTGTTACAGTCCGGGTCAAATCTTTACCTGGTCAAGAACAACGGCAAAAGCTCCGCTCTAAGCCTGTCTTCCACTCAGGCGGAAGTTCCATCTCCGCCAAGGAGGGGCACTGGGAAAGTCCTCAGCCTTCAAAGCCCTCCACTTCCGTTCTAAGTAGCGCACGACAGGCGCGCTGAGAATCTCAGGCGGCCCTGGGTGCAGAGCCAGGCCTTCCCCGCCATGCCTGCACCTAGCGACCAAAGGCCTGAAGCAGCGCGAGTCGCCACTGAGCCAGCGAGGCGGCTCCGGGCGGAGTGATCAGGAACCAGTCCGCGCCGTGCGCAGGGAAGGGATGGAGACCCGGGGACCAGCATCTCCTCGCCACCCCCCGCCACCCCCAAGATGGAAGCGGAAATCCCAGAGTCGTCCTCTTGGGGCGACGCCAAAAAGGACCCCCAGGCCAGGCCTTGCGCGCATGCGCAATGCTACGCCGTCCCTGGGCCCTGGACGGAGCGTGAACCCAGAACCGCGCCATCGACCTCGCCCACGGGCTCGAGCCGCGCGTGCGCGCCAGGGCCCGGGCCAGCGGCCTGGCTGGGATGGAGGCTCGCCCAGCCCCCGCGGCGGCTGCGTACCGGGCGGCGCAGGGGGAGGCCTCCGCCCGGCCTTCGCCCCCGGGGCCCTGCCCGCGCCCGCCGCCCACACGCACGCTTACCTCCCGCGCCGCGTCCGTCCGCTGGGCTACGGGCAGCGGGGACTGCTCGGCCGGGGCCGGGAACAGCGGAGACTTGGCGCCTCCCCCTGAAGCGGCCCGGCTCGGCGGGCAGCGCTCTCGAGTTCAGCCGTGCAGGGAGGAGGGGGCCGCGGAGTGGGAAGAGAAACGAGGGGAGGGGAGGGGGTGCAAGGAGAAGGGAGGGGGCTGCGCGCTGCGCCCCTCCTCCCTCCGCCGCCCGGGCACCGGCGACCCTGCCTGCAGCCTGGCCTCTGTGCCGTACCCCGCATTCTGTCTTAGTGCCCCGATTTCGGGGGACCCACGCCTCTCCAGTTCTCGGCCTTACATTTAAAGGCGTTGAGTTTTCTGCTTGCTGCAAAGCAAGCGCCTCCGTGTGCTAGTCCAGTCTTACCAACTCCATCCAGGAGGCCGACCTCATTGTGTGGTGTTCGAGGGCTCAGAGATCAGTCCGGTTTTAAAATGAAGGAAATTCTGTCACTTGGGACGATGTGGAATGAACCTGGAGGATGTGAAGCAAAGTAGGCACCAGACAAATACTTACGGATGTCATTTAAGGAGCATTTAAAAAGTCACACCAAAAGAGCCGTGGTTACTGGGACTAGGGAAAAGGGACACTGGGGAATCTAGTGATCAAATTTCAATTAGGAGGAGCAAGCTCATGACAGCTACTGTATACTACGCAGTGGCTACTCGTATCAACAGTGCACACCAAAAACTACTAAGAGAATAGATAGTTTTGGAACAGGATCTCTGTAATAGCCCAAGTTAGGCTAAAGCTCCGTAACCTCCCTCCTCCCTCCTCCCCTTGCTTGATTCTGCCATCAATCACACAGTGTATACATGTATCAAAAAGAACAAACAAACGGTGCACTATAAATGTATATTTGATTTTCAGTTGAAATTTTAAAAGAACCTACTTTCTTATTGACTTCAGTTTTTAGCCCACTTACTGGGGAGATAGGAGATTGGGGTAACTTGCCTCCAGCCATCCAATTAGCAGTGAGGTCAGGACTCAAGGCCATCTCTTCATTCCAGCACGTCCTCTGTTATGGTTGACCATGTGGTTTCTTTCCAAATGACTTGGAAAACTGGGTCAAATGATAAAGGTCTTAGCAGTATAGCTGCTGCCTGGGTCACAGGATCCACAAAGGGCTTTTGGAAGAGGTCCGCATGATCCTTGGTCTTGAGCAAGTTCACTGTCTGGAGGCTAAAGGCCCAGTGTAGGCAGAACACCAACAGCCCATGAATTTAGTACCATCGTGAACTTGGCTTAATTAGAACAGAAAATTGATTCAAGATAATTTTAGGAAATGAAATCCAGACTAGACGTGGAAGGTCAGAAAAAAATTCGAAATTCATATCATGTATTTTTATGGACTCCAAATCGTTGTCTTTAAATGGAGTGTTGATTTGTTTAATATTTCACATAACAAAGCCTGTCAAAGATGACATATTTTTTTAAAAATCCTAAATAAAATCAACAAATAGGATCCAACAATAAAAACCATGATGAATACAGGGAGTATTTTAGTGATATAAGTATACAATGGTAAGAAAGTTATTCTACATAAATAGTCAAAGAAACAGGAAAGTTTTGATTGGTTATTTAAAGTGACAATGTTCAACAGTCTTGTTTTAGTTTTTTTTTCGAGACAGGGTTTCTTGTGTAAATAGCTCTGGCTGTCCTTGAACTCACAGAGATCCACATGCCTCTGCCTTCCTAGTGCTGGGACTAAAGGTGTACACTACCATGCCCAGCTCAATAGTAATTTTTGATCACAGAAACCTTTAGTAAATGGCTACGTGAACTCAATAATAAACAGCTTAAGAGTATATCTAATAAATATAGAGATAAAGTTGGTGCTTATACATAATTGATACTGTAATATAGTATGATAGTGATAGAATATGAGAACTGAAATTGGTGCAGATGTTTTAAGTTATACAATTATATACCCAGCTCCTTTTCAAAAAAAATTTTTGAGACAAAGTAGCTAAAACAACCTTGAACTTTTGATACCAATACTTCAACCTCCCAAGCACTAGGATTGTAGGCACTGCCACAAATGGTTCCTTTTCTCTCTTTGTTTTTTTTTTTCCTTTTCTTTTTTCTTTTTGAGCAGAGTCGTGACTGTCCTGGTACTCACTCTGCAGCCCAAGCTGGCCTCAAACTCAGAGATCAACCTGCCTCTGCCTCCCCAGTCTCCCCAGTGCTAGATTAAAGTGGCATCACTGCCCAGCTTCCTTTCCAGTTTTTGATGAGTGAAATTCAAAGGTGTCTGTGGATGTCTGTTCTAGAAGGTGGGGTTGTCATGGAGCTGGAATAGCATGCTATCCATTCACAGGATAGCTATCTAGTGGTAGGCTCTGGAAGTTACCTTTTTGACTGCTCTATGTAAGGCTTAAGTACACTAGGTTGCTCTCATTGTTAATAAAAAGCTGATTGGCCTATGGCTAGACAGGATTTTCGGGGCAAAGAGGATGCTGGGAGGAAGGAGGGCAAAGTCTCTGGAGTCACAGGAGATGCAGAGAAAAACAAGATGACCGTGCCATGTTGAAGAAGGTACAGCCATGTGTCAGAGGGTAGATAAGAAATAGGGTTAATTTAAAATGTAAGAGTTAGCTAGTAACAAACTTGTGCTATCAGTTGAACATTTATAATTAGTAATAAGTCTTAATCTGGTTATTTGGGAGCAGCTGCTGGGACACAGAGAAACTCTGCCTACACTTGGGGGAAGAGAAAACATTCAGAACCCTCCCAGAAAGTCAGGTGACATTTTAATTTCTTCATCTTTACTTCCTTGTGCCTCAAACAATAGGATGCCCAGGAGACAGTTGAGTAGCCTCAGTTCCTAGAACAAATGCTTTTCGGATTTTGCACAAACTTATGGTTAGTGGTGTCCTTTCCCAGTATTGTAAAAGCAGGGACCAAGGTTGAGGACAGGTTGCTAGGATAGGCATTAGCAGAGCAGGGTTCAACGCAGCCAGATCTTGGTTCTGAGTTTTACAGATGTTTATAGTACAGTACTGTACCCTGATTTACATCAGCTTAACATCACAGCCTGGGACACGCCCTCCACTGAAACAGCTTAACATCACAGCCTGGGACACGCCCTCCACTGAAACAGCTTAACATCACAGCCTGGGACACGCCCTCCACTGAAACAGCTTAACATCACAGCCTGGGACACGCCCTCCACTGAAACAGCTTAACATCACAGCCTGGGACACGCCCTCCACTGAAACAGCTTAACATCACAGCCTGGGACACGCCCTCCACTGAAACAGCTTAACATCACAGCCTGGGACACGCCCTCCACTGAAACAGCTTAACATCACAGCCTGGGACACGCCCTCCACTGAAACAGCTTAACATCACAGCCTGGGACACGCCCTCCACTGAAACAGCGATGGTTTGCATGCTTTGCTTCCTATGTACTTCTGGAGACTTCAGACAAGAGCAGGCCAGCAGGGCTGGGCTTCCCTAGATGCCCTAGGCAAACACTACCTGAATTGATAAAGTTGAATGATGTCCATTTACAAAGGCAATATATAGTCAGTGAGGACAACCAAAACTACCCAGGGTAGAGTGAAGAGGCAGGCCCTGGCTCTAAAATTAATCCACAACCCTAATGGAATGCTAACAAAAAGTCTAGGATTGCGTCAATATTTTAAAAAGGTAACTGAAAGCCCAGCATGTTAGAGGAAGACATGTCTGGAAGACAGTCTGCTCTCTGACTTAACAATCTCACCGTTAGGAATTTAGAATGGAAACATGTAGAAGGCTCGTCACAGCAGCGTTGTTTATAATTGGAGGATATGGTGTCTGTGCATTCAGGCTGCCATCACCAAATACCTTACTGTGGGTAATTTATAAATAGAAATGTGCTGGTTACATTTCAGGGAGCCAGGAAGCCTAAAGTAAAGCCAGGGGAAGACCTGGTTATCTGCTAAAGGCTTGCTTTCTGCTTGGGAGACAGCGCCTAGTTGTTGTCCCCTCATTGTGGAAAGGATAACACCACACTGAATTAGCTAAATGGGTGAGGGAGGTCCCTGCAGTCTAATTCCTTCCCCTATGACTTAAGCACTTCTTCAAGGCCTACTCTGTAATTTTACCCCATTGGATACCAGGTTCTAATGCATGAGCGGGAAAGGACATCACCATTCACATAACAGCACTCAGGAAATTACTAGTATATTTTATAACCCACTGTTTGGGGGGGAAATTAAAGCATGGCAGAGTAAAAGCTGCACTTTTTAAAATTAAGGAAAAAAGTAAAAATATGTTAACATAGAGTAATTAAAATGAAAGTGAAAGTGGAACTAATCCAGCAGTCAGTACTTTGTGACCCGCTTAGTTTTATTAGCGCTTTCTTCTCACCACAACCGTGCTAGTGTGAAGCATCTTATTTATCTACCAATATCTCAGAAGATGTCTCCAAAAGATAAAGAATCTTAAAAATTCCAACCAAGTATATCACACCCATAAAAACCACCACTAATTCCTTGGCCATGCAACACTCTTCCAGAGTCTAAGTTCCCAAGTACTTAAAGGGTACCACAATTCCCTGGCAGTTTGACTTGGGATTGGAATGAGGTCAGGCACAGAGATTGGGTTATAATCCTTACCTCTTCCTTTTAATTCATAAATTCCCTTCCCTGACTCCTCTGTTTCATGCAACTTATTAATTGGAAAAATGAAGTTGTTTGCCCCCTGAGCACACACCCTCCATGCTCATCATGAATTAGTAAGTAGATTTAGAGTCTTAATTGGATTTATTTTTGCTTAGTGTTCTTTCTCTCTTTCTCTCTCTCTCTCTTCCTTCCTTTCTCTCTCTTTCTTCTTCCTTCCTTCCTTCTTTTCTTTTCTCTTTTCCTTTCTTTTCTTGGCAAGCTGATTTCTGAGACAGTAGTGACCCCTTCCATCAGTGCATGTAACTAGGATCGCTTCTTTCTCTGACATCAGGAGCTGTTGATGTTCAGTCCATGCAGTGAGTAGTTGTTGGGAATGGTGGTGTTGTATTGTTTTTTGCTGGCTTACAAGCTGGAACACTTTCACAGAGAGATGTTCTTCCTCGGTGACTCCTAGTCAACACAGGAAACGTGGAAGAAGCTTCTGGTTCTTTCTCCTAATTTACCAGTTTTAAAAATAATGAGTCAAGCCTGCTTAGAAATACAGTCACTTCAATGTTAAGAGCAGTTCTCTATCACTGGTGACATGATGGCTAATTTCTTCTTCCTGGTATTGTTCTCTAAAGTTTAAGTTTTTATGGTGTGATAAAATTTTAAAGGTATGGTTCCAAGTAATTCTTTCTTATTTTATGTTACTCATGATAATTTTCCAAATACATAATCTCATCAAAAAGTCCCTTTTTGTCAAGCATAGTGATACATGTCCTTTATGCCAGCACTCAGGGGGAAGAAGCAGATTAATCTCTATGAGTTCAAGGTCAGTTTGGTCTACATAGTATAATCCTTTATTAAATAAATAAAAACTTTTTAAATAAGTCCTTCTGGCATACATGATTTTTCTCATGGCATAATCATCAGGAGTCTAGCCAAATAGCCAGCTTCAGGTTCAGTGAAAAACCCATCTGAAATGTTAGACACCCATCTCTCTCAAACGTGAGAGACTCCATTACATAGTGACAAAGGACACTGAATCAGCATTGCTTGCCCCATATTCTGATAGCATTAGGACAACTGCCGAGGCAAATTTAATGTAGCAGGTTACTCTGCTCTCCTGGATTGGGCGCCGAAGTTGGAAAATGATAGAAAGACATGAGATGGGTAAAGACTGTTCCCAGAAGATCTGGAGGATGGCACAGAGGAGAATGAGTGGGTGTAGGGAAGGAAACTGAGAAAAGGTTGGAGGAGTCCAGGCAAATCCAGATAATGGCTTTGAGACAGAAAAGAGAAAGTACTGATTAAATAATCAGATACTTACTTATGTAGACTATAGCCCTTGCCTCTTGTTCTCTCACAGCCTGACTAGGATCTTCACATAGCTGTGATATGGCAGCAGGGACAGGAAACTGAGAACAAGCTTTTCTCAGTCCACTGCCAGGCCAGAGCTCTAGGAAGCAATAGTTCACACTCCCAGCCAGGTCAGCCGCTGGCTTGTGCTTTGGTTAGATAAAGCCACCCATTCACCTGATGAATTACCTCCCGACTTACAAATAGAGATGTGGCCTCTGCCTCAGTAGAAAAACAGGAGGTCATGGATTCCTGGTCCATATTGTGTCCTTGACATTTGTTCCTTGTCCTACCTTCAGGGTCTCCAGTGAAGTGATCCTCACAGATTTATCCTAGAGCTTTCTTGTGAGACTTCTTTAAAGAGCCTTCCCATAAAGAGGGCTGTGTGACCAAATTGGAATAGACAGACTGCCCTTGAAGTTTTATTAGTAAAAGAGACCTTATAGGGGCTTCTCTTTAACAGAAAAACAACCAAACAAAAACAACCCAAAAACAAACAAAAAACTGGACATGACCAACCCCCCCAGCCTGAGCCCCCGTGAGTCTAGAGAGGGCACCACAGCATGCCTGCAACCTGAGGAGAAGGTTGAAACTGTCTCCCCTCCAAGTCAGCCACCGGAGAGGCTCACAAGACTGTTTTGGCTCAAATATGCCCCCCCAACTGGTAGAATTGCAAAGGATAGGTCAGCATGAAAGGTGAAGAGTCCCACAGAAGAAACTTTGTTCATACGCCCTTACTTAGTCACAGCATTGATTCAATCCCCTCTCAGGAGATTCCTATTTGCTGTGCTACCTCCAAGTGAGAAACTGATGCTTCAGCCCGAAGGCACTAAAACCATGGCACTAATGCCTCATCACATTTCAGGGCTGAGTATCATGTTTCCAAAGCTCCTAGTACACTCTGAATTGATGATCTCAGGCATATCTCAGTGAAACAAGGAACACAGGGAGATTTTAATTCTTTTTAGAGTTTGAAATATTTATATATGTGGAGGCTGGGGAAGAAGCTTATATTTGTAAATTTCTTGCCTCACATACACAAAGCCGTAGGTTTTATCTCAAGCACTGCATGCACTATGATGGTGCATAGCTCTAATCCCAGTATTCAGGAAGTAGATATAGAAGAATCAGGAATTCAGAGTTATTTTAGGCTCCATAAACAAGTTTGAGGGGCCTGGAGTGGTTAAGAGCACTGGCTATTCTTCCAGAGGAGCCTGGTTCAATTCCCAACACCCACATGGCAGCTCACAACTGTCTGTAACTCTAGTTCTCGGGTACTCAACATGCAGGCAAAAACCCAATGCATGTTTTTAAAATTGCTAAAAAAATACATAAAAAACAAAGTTTGAGGAAAGCCTGGACTAAATGAAACCCTGTCTTAAATAAATATCCAGGCATATTGCTGTACATCTTTAATCCTAGCACTTTGAAATCTAAGGCAGGCAGATCTATGTGCATTCTGGGCCAACCTGATCTACATGGTGAGTTCCTAGTGAAGTTCCAGGATAGCCAGGAGTACATAGAGAGACTGTCTCAAAAAATAAGTAAGTAAAAAAAATAATAAGATGAATTTCCAAATACTAGGCCTGAGTTCCAAAATTAAAATTGGAAGAGAGGCTATAGAAAATTCCTAGCCCTGTCTTCTGGAGTGGTCTAGCTGGTGTGTGGGCTGATTTCTGTACTGGCATCATCAATGAAATGAAGCAATGCAGAGAAGAAGAAATCAAGAGTAAAACTAGGAAACATGGAAATCAGTAACAAAGCTGGGCACACGCCTTTAGTTCCAGAACTCGGGATGCTGAGGCAGGCAGATCTCTGTGAGTTCAAGGCCAGCCTGGTCTACAGAGCGAGTTCCAGGACAGCCTCCAAAGCCATAAAGAGAAACCCTGTCTCAAAAAACCAAAAAAAGAAAGAAAGAAAGAAAGAAAGAAAGAAAGAAAGAAAGAAAGAAAGAAAGAAGTCAGTAACAAGTCAACAGTTCACAGTGGGGCTGACAGCTAGCCAAGACTTTTATTATTATTATTATTATTATTATTATTATTATTATTATTATTATTTTGGTTTTTCAAAACAGGGTTTTTCTGTATTCTCTGTATTGCTTTGGAGGCTATCCTGGAACTCACTCTGGAGACCAGGGTGGCCCTGAACTCACAGAGATCCACCTGCTCTGTATCCCGAGTGCTGGGATTAAAGGTGAGAACTGCCAACACGCGGCCAGGACTTTTATTATTAAGAAACCAAAGAGCTGAGAGGGTTGGTGCAGATGCAGGAGGATCACTTTAAGTTCACAGCCAGACTAAGGAAGAAAGTGAGCTTCAATATACCCATATTTAAAAATAACAACAGCTGGGGGCTGGAGAGATGAAGGCTCACAACCATCTGTATAATGAGATCTTGTGCTCTTTTCTGGCGTGCAGGCATGCATGCAGGCAGAACACTGTATACATAGAAAATAAATAAATCTAAAAAAAATAGTAACAGCAACTAGAAACCAGGAAGATGTGACAAGACGCCACTGGACCCTATGACCTTGGCCACTGTCATTCTCTGCTCTCTCTCTCTCCAGCCAACCTACTTATAATTCCTGACATCTGTATGGATCTGACAGGGTTTCTTTTGGACTTTTAGAATTTGGCAGTGTCATTCTGTGGTTAACGTCCTGGAATTCTTTCCCTTTCCTCGGTATTTATGAACAAAGTTCTTCCATGTCTTACTTTTGCCCAAGACCCAGCATCTGCCACCTAGTAACCAGAAGGTCCAGTACCCAGTTTAACTAGTCTTCCTGGTTCCCATGACCTCACATGATTCTTTGTCTTCCTCCTCCTGTGAGATGCTTTGAACTAGTTCAGGGTTCAGATACATCTTCCGCATCTGCCTAAAAGGTCAGCGGAATCCCTGAGCACAAGAACTCCACCCGTCCCTTCCCCGGTCAGCACCTGAAAGATGATTATCTTCCCATGACAGTGCTCAGTGAAAATGTTCTTTTTAAACAGATATATGTATTATAGGAGCAAATGGTGTTTATGATGACAAATTTTATTGGTCAAACAAGTGAAGTATATTTTGAGACTGACAATCTCTAAATGAATTGTGAAATGTTGTTTGCTGATTTGTGCTTCCGTGTTCTGGCCCATACATAGAACACTCTTTACATTTGGGCTTCTCTTAATCAATCAGAGGTGGCAGAATAACATTTTGGGTCAACACACAAGCACCCAAAGACATGAAAATAGGAGGGGGTTGTTTGGGAAGAAAAGGGGGTTCAGTGAAATAAATTATGGGATGCATATGGTCAGAATACATTGTAAAAATTGTTGAGTGGATGAATTAATTTGGGTGTCTGTGCTGAGTCTTTTTATTGAGAGTAGATTCTTCTCTCAAACAATGCATCCTGACCACAGTTTTCCCTCCCTCCATTTCTCCCAATCCTCCCTCCCACCAAATCCCATCTCCCTTCAGAAAAAAGCAGGCCTCCAATAAACAGCAACCAAACACAACAAAACAAAACAGAACAATACAAGAAAAAAAGCTCCCACACTGAGGCTGAATAAAGCAAGTAACAGGAAGAGGAGTCCCAGGAGGACCTAGTGCAGATCCCTGCAGGTCCATCTCTGTGGCCTGCCCAGTGCTTGCTGGGTCCATCTCTGTGGCCCACATGAGCCCTGCTTGGTTGATTGGGTAGGCTGTGTTCTCCTGGTGTCCTCCATTCCCTCTGGCTTCTACAATCTTCCTGCCCACTCTTCTTCAGGATTCCCCAAGCTATGAGGAGAGGGGCCCGATGGAGTCCTCCGATTTAGATTCTATCTCTGCCTAATGTCTGGTGGTGGGTCTCTGCATCCGGTACCATCTGCTGCCAGAGGAAGCCTTTGGAGTGACTACTGGACAAGGCACTTATCCTAGGTGTGGTGGTTTGAATAAAAGTGGCTCCCATGAGCCCATAGGACGTGGCACTATTAGGAGTAGGTGAGACCTTGTTGGAGGAAGTGGGTCACTGGCGGCGGGCTTTGAGGTCTCAGATGCTCAAGCCATGCCCAGTGTGGCACTCTTCCTGTTTCCTGCAAAAAAAGAGGCAGGACTCTCAGAAGCTTTTCCAACACCAAGTCTGCCTGCCAGCTGCCATGCTTCCTACCATGATGATAGTAGACTAAACCTCTGAACTGTAAGCCAGCCCCAATTAAATGCTTTTTTTTTATAAGAGTTGCTGTGGTAATTGTGTCTCTTCACAGCAATAAAACCCTAACTAATACACTAGGCCTCTGGTCTAACTAATCTCAAGTTCCTGGACATCCAAGTAGTATCAGGCATGGGTTCTTTCTCATGGAGTAGGCCTTGGGTTGAATCAGACATTGGTTGGCCACTCCAAAAGTTCTGAGCCAGCACTGCCCAGCATGTCTTGTAGGCAGGACAGATTGTAGGTTAAAGGTTTTGTGGCTGGACTGGTGTCTTGATTTTACTTTTGGTAGTCTACAGAGTGCCTTCCCACACCACAGAGACTAATACATAGAGGTAAAGGCTCCATGCAGGTACCAGCTCAACCTCTCCTTGTATTTATTGAGCTGTGTGGATGCTGTCCTTGGCAATGGGGCCTCTGTTAGTTTGCAGAGACCAATCCTTTGTCCTAGCGCCAGCCTAAGTTGTTTGGATGACAGGACCCCTTAGCTAACAACTCAACCAAATGCAACCCAGTATTGCACTGGAAACATTGCCTCACTACAAGAAACAGTTCATACTCAGTACCTGCCATACTAGGAGTCCTCACTGGGATCATCCTGACTCTTCTTTGAAAGTCTGATAGAATTGTGAACTAAAACCATCTGGCCTGCAGGCTTTTTTTTTTTCTCGATTGGGAGACTTTTAATGGCTGCTTCTGTTTCACTATGGGTTATAGATCTATTTAAGTTGTTTATCTTGTTTTAACTTTGGTAAGTGACAACTATAGAGAAAATTATCCATTTCTTTTAGATTTTCTAATTTTGTGGAGTATAGATTTTTAAAGTATGCCCTGATGAGTGTCTGGATTTCCTCTGTGTCCATTATGTCCCCCTTTTCATTTCTGACTGTGTTAATTTGGATATTCTCACTCCATCTTTTGGACAGTTTAGACAAGGGTTTGTCTGTTTTGTTTTGTTTTTTTTAATTTTCTCAAAGATCCAACTCTTCCTTTCGTTGGTTCTTTGTATTGTTCTATTTGTTTATATTTTATTGATTTCAGCCCTAAGCTTATTTCCTGCCATCTACTGAGCTTACTTTTTATTCTACAGATTTCAGGTGTGCTGTCAGGTTGCTAGTATGAGATCTTTCTAATTCTTTTTTTATGTAGGCACTTAGTGGTATGAACTTTCCTCTTAACACCACTTTCATTGTGTACTGTAAGTTTGAGTATGCTGTGTATTCATTTTTATTGAATTCTATAAAGTATTTATTTTCTTCCTTATTTCTGTCTTGATCTATACTATCATTCAGTATAGATTTGTTCAGTTCCATGAGTTCGCAGGCTTTCTGTTGTTTCAGTTTGGGTTGCTACCCAGCTTTAATCCGTGGTGGTCTGAAGGGATTCAGTGAGTTATTTCAATTTTCCTGGATCTGTTGAGACTTTCTTTGTGTCTGAGTATGTGGCTAGTTTTTGAAAAAGTTCCATGGTGCTGAGAAGAAAGTATGTGTGTGTGTGTGTGTGTGTGTGTGTGTGTGTGTGTGTGTGTGTGTGTGTTTGGGTGGCATGTTCTGTAAATGTCTGTTAGGGCCAGTCTTTCTTTGTTTACTTTTGTCTGGATGACCTGCCCTTTGGTGAGAATAGTTTGAAGATAAATATGTGATTTAAGCTGTAGTAGTAATTTTTTTAACACAAAAATGGGTTCCCTTGTGTTTGGGGAATAGATGTTAAGAATTAAAATGTCATCTTGTGGATTTTTCCTCTGATGATTAGTTTTGATTTGATCTATTTTGTTAGAAGTTAAAATGTGTCCACTAGTTTGCTTCTTAAGTTCATTTGCTTGGATATCTTTTTCCAACCTTTTACCTTGAGGTAATGTCTCTCCTTGATGTTGAGGTATGTTACTTGGATGCAACAGAAAGATGGATCATTTTTTCACATTCTATTGGTCTATGACTTTTGGGGAGGGAGGAGGGGTGAGACAAATATCACTGACCAATAATTGTTGATTTCTGTTATGTTGTTGTTGTTGGTGGTGGTGGTAGTAGTGATAGTAGTGTGTGTGTATGTGTTTCCCTTCTTTTGGTTTTGCCAGAGTGAGTTTATTTCCTTTGTTTTCATGGGTGTAGTTAACCTTCTTAGTTTGGAGTTTTCCTTCTAGCACCATCTGTAGGATTGGATTTATAGAAAGATATTGTTTAAATTGGCTTTATCTGGAATATCTTATTTTCTCCATCTATGGTGACTGGAAGTTTTGCTGGGTATAGTAGTCTGGGTTGGCATCCATGGTCTCTTAGTATCTGTAGCACATCTGTCCAGACCCTTTTGGCTTTTAGAGTCTCCATTGAGAAGTAATTAATAGACCTGCCTTTATATGTTACTTGATCTTTTTTCCTTGCAGATTTTAATATTCTTTTTTGTTTGTTTTGTTCTGTATGTTTAGTGTTTTGATTATAATGTGGTGAGGGGACTTTCTTTTCTGGTCCAGTATATTTGGTGTTCTGTATGCTTCTTGTACCTTTATAGACATCTTCTTTAGGTTAGGAAAATTTTCTTATATAATTTTGTTGAAATTATTTTCTGACCTTTGACCTGGGTTTCATTTTCTTCCTCTAGTCCTGTTATTCTTAGGTTTGATTTTTTTCATAGTGTCCCAGATTCCCTGGATTTGTTTGTTTTTTGAGACAGGGTTTCTCTATAGCTTTGGAGCCTTTCCTGGAACTCTTTCTGTAGACGAGGCTGGCCTCGAACTCACAGAGGTCTGCCTATCTCTGCCTCCCAAGTGCTGGGATTAAAGGCAAGCATCACCACTGCCCAGCCTTCCTGGATGTTTTATGTCAGGAATTTTTTAGAATTAACATTTTTTAACCAATGTATCCATTTCTTCTATCGTATCGTCAAAGCCCAAGATTCCCTCCTTCTTCTCTTGTGTTTTGCTGGTGAAGCTTGCTCTGTAGTTCCTAAATTTTTCATTTCCAGAATTCCTTCAGTTTGTGATTTCTTTATTACTTCTATTTCCACTTTCAGATCTTGAACAATTTTGCCTTTCCTTCAACTATTTGTATTTTCTTAGATATCCTTAAGGGATGTATCCATTTCCTTCGTGTGTGTGTGTGTGTGTGTGTGTGTGTGTGTGTGTGTGTGTGTGTGTGTGTGTTTTCCTGGCTTTCTTTAGGGATTTATTCATTTCCTTCCTTAGGACCTCTATCATCTTCATATAAGTGGTTTTAAGGGTTTTTGTTTTGTTTTGTTTGCTTTGTGTTTCAACTATGTTGGAATATTCAGGGCCTGCTACGGTAGGACAGCTGGACTCTGGTGGAGACATATTGCCCTGGCTGTTATTGATTGTGTTTTTACACTGGTGTTTAGGCATCCATGTTTTGGTGGATTATAGATCGAGGTCAGTACCTAGACCTAAAACTCTGGGAGTTCAGGAGAGCATGGCCTGTTTGGAAAAAAATGTGTTTAGCTCAAATGTAGGCATTTAAAACTAAAAAATTCCTATATTACCATCTATATAGCTTATGAATTTTATAATTCATATAAAATTATAAATTAATGCAATGTCATTAAGGTTTGGGATATTTTCAATTATGATTCTTTTTCATTTTAGGCTAGTTTTAAATATAGGTTTCTTATGTACATTGATCAATATAGTCTGTTTGCTTTTGATAATTTGGGCTTAAAAGTATTTTTGAGACAAGATCTCACTATGTAACCCTGGCCAGCCTGGACCTGATTAAAGAGAAGAGGCTGTCCTAGAACTCACAGAGATCCATATGCCTCTGCTTCCTGAGTGTTGGGATTAAAGGTATGAGTTATCATATATAGCAGATAATTTGGATTTTTAAGACTTCATTTGTGGCTTACCTAGCACAGACCAATATCCTCATAAATTTACACATATTGGCCCATAATAAATTCCTTATCAAGCTGAATCCAGTAGTATGTAAAAAAATTATCAATGAGTGATCAGAAATCAGAAAATGGATGAAAACCATGTAGAGGCTTTTTGCCCCCAAAGCATTCTGGTAGTAGGGCAAACATACCTATGCCGAGATGTTTGATGGGTGTTGTTGCCTTTGGAGAAATCCAAATTAAGATTATGATGCAGTATTACTTCATACCTACCAAATGACAAACAGAACAAACAAGTGACAACAGGAGGTGCTGGTGATGATATGGAGAAACTGTTGTTACATCTTTGTTGGTAGGAAGGTGAAATTATATAGCTACTCTGAAAATAATCTAGTAAATTCTCATAACGCCTGGAAATAATGTAGCATAGTATGTTAATTCATTCATTTAACCTGTGACCTAAAAATTAACACTGAATTAATCTATGCCCTAACAATTGTGCTCTTGACCAAATAAAACGATCCTACACATGACCATCCATAGAGTATAACTGTAATAGTTAAAAACAAACAACTACTTAAAAAGCTCATGGCTTTTAATAGATCGATGATTATACAAGAACTAAATCTAGCCAACAATTGTTGAAAGCAATAACTTGGATGACTCTTTGGGGCATTATGCTGAGTGTAAAAACCACTCTGAAAATGTTCCATACCGTATGGTGCTGTTTCTGCAACATTTTCTAAATGACAAAATTTTAGAGAATAGATTAGTAGTTGCCAGGGGTTAAAGATGGGGGACAGGGAGAAGTGAGTGCTTTTAAAAGGAGGAAATCCCTGTGGGAATGGAGTGGCCTGTATGTGAACTGATGGCATGAGCCCACGTGTAGTAAAACTGTACAGAATGAAGCACACAAATGTTAGTACATAGTGAACCAGGGAAATATGTATAAGGCACATGTGTTGAACCAAGGCAGCTTCATGCTTATGGAAGTATACTGTTTTGCAAAATAGGAAACTGGTAGAAAGTATCATCCATGCTATTTTTTTATAGCTGCATGGGAATCTACAATTATGTCAGTAAAAGTATGAATTCACATGCTGCCTTAAGTTATTGATAGGGCTTTATATTTTCTCCTAACATTCTGTTCTTACCTTTTTTTATTTGCTTGTTTGTTTTTTCCTTAGCACAACAAGATAAGTCTGTTTGGGGGATTACTTCTGAAAAAGGAAACACATTAGTAAGAAAGGTAAGTGGGTTCCCTACTAGCACACACTCTTGGTTCTAGTCACCAAAGTTAGTGTCATCTTCTTCAATTACAGAAACTGAGTTGGGAAGAAAACCCTTGCCTTACATGTGGTCATATGATAATTTTACAATAGTGAGGTGGTTGAGGCCAAATCTCAGTGGAGATTTCCTTTCAAGTCTATCTGTTCATCTTTCCACTGCTGCAAAACTGTCCTCTATGCTGCACTCATAAGAAATGATGATTACTATTATTAGTACTAATAGCCCCAACACATTATATGGTATAATGCTGCAGCGATTAGCTTGAGAAGTTTAATAGGTGTTATTTTCTTTAGCTTATCCTGAAATGTCTCTTTGCTCCATGTTATCTTGATATTTCTACTTATTTGTCCCCTGGAACACCCTGCCTGATATTGCCCCTGAAATTATACAGGAAGGCTTTCTCTTTGGTTTTACAGCAAGGTGCTTCTCTTTGGTTTTCTTTGACTGGAGCACTGTAGTCACTCCATAACTGCTGTCCCACTTTTGATGATGTTGCCATCAAGAGGACATAGGGGCCCTCACAAGGCAGGACAATCATTGCATCAGCCAGGGTTCACTTGGTGAATCGCCTCAAATTTTAAGCACTTTGATTGTGAAAGAGTAATGCTGACAACCCTGATTTATTCATTCCTTGAAGACCTTGAAATCCAACCTTAAATGTTGTTGTTGGATTTTTTGTGGGGGGGTGGAGTTGTTGATTTCATTGTTTATGGTAACATTTAACCTATAAGTATGTAAAAATCTACTATAAGTGTTGGCATTTGCCAATACAAAAGTATAGTTCTATTTTTAAGCTTATTGTTATTATGTGTTAGAGATCTAGAACCAGATTAATGTCCAAATCTATGGATTTACAAACACTTAACGCAGGGAATGAAAAGCATGTAAAAGCATGTTTAATTAAGCAACAATTGGACCACTGCTACTCTGATGTTTTTGGCATCAAGAGACAGAGTTAAGGAGCTTGCAAGAAATGCATCTAAACTGCCAGACATTGACCTCAATGCCCAGCATGTAAGTGTCTGTGGAAATAGCCTCAGACCTCTGATACACAATTGTGCTGCTCTAAGCAAACCCAGGGTTGGTGGAGATGTGCTAGAAAGCAGACCCACTGCTTGGTTTGATGGGTTTCTTCATGCTCATTGTCATCTGTGTAGAAAAGGCAGTGCGTGCAGATGTGAGAGATTCAGCATGTTATCTGCAGGAAACAGCGTGCTTCGAGGAGGAAACCTCAGACCCCTCTCACTAGAGATGTGATAAGAGGAGGTAGGAACAGAAGTACTTATTCATAAGTGTGGCTTCCTGTTCAGGTGGCATGAGAGATTCCAGGTGTGGCTTCCGTTTCACTATTAGCTGTACTAAATAACTAAATAAGGATTGGTCTAGGGAACTTCTAAAGTTCCGCCTGTTTCAAGAATCCCTAGGTCTACAGATAAGCAAGAGTATTCGTTTCTTTAACTATTCTATTAAATGTCCATTTATCAGTCTTATTCTTCAGATTGTGTGTGCACGCATGCTCGCGCACGTGTGGGCATGCGTGTGTTCCCATAGAGGTGGCCAGAGGACATTGGTATTGACCTCCTTTTTAATTTGAGACAGGGTCTGTGGCTTCCCTGGAACTCACTAGACAGACAGGGCTGCTTGGCCAGTGAGGCCCAGGGATCTGCCCTCCACCTCCAGCGCCATGAGCCATGAAGCCAGGCATTTGTTCCCCTTTTCTATTTAAATGTGGGATCTAAGCCAGCTTTTCATTTTGTAATTTAACTGACTGGACTATCTCTTCAGCACTCTTCAGATTGCTTTGTATCTAAACTTGAATTGCTTTAATTGCTTACGGGTAATTATCACATTTAAATACAAGTGTTTAAACTGGTAAGGACATTGGCCAAAGGAACCTTAACATTAGGCCAAGTAAACTTTCTTTAATTAAAACAAAACAAAACAAGAAACCTTCTTGTATTTGTTTCATTAGTCATCCTAACTTGCCTTGCTACACTCTTAATAGGCTGTGTGACTCACCAGGAAACTGAGCAATAAATGCTGTTTGCTTTTAGGTCTCCTGTGGCAAAGGCACTGAAGGGGAGCTCCGATACACAGTCGCCAGTCCCACGCAGAGATTGAAAATGGAGTCGCAGCTGCAAAGGCAGAAAGACACTTACCCTCCAGTATTTTACTCAGAAATAAAGAAGACAGATGAATGTCTTCCCTTTACTTGGGCCGCCAGCAGTAACAACTCATGGAAAAAAAAATCCCTGCTATCAATCACGATGAAGAGTGGCAATGAGCCCATGGGACGTGGAGGGGGACGCATGTTTCAGTTTCAAAAGAGCACCTCTCCTCGTCCTGGGTTACTTCCTCTTCGGGTTCCTGGCCTGCTCTGTTAGGACAATGACAGGAGGTACTTTGAGAGGCTTTTTAAATACTGACTCCACAGCTTGTCCTTATCGGTGGCTTTACTCCAGGCCCTATTTAGGCGAAAGAAAATGAAGACGAGAGGTGCAATGCAAGCTTGTCTTAGAAGCGTGCACTGTGAGAGAAAGACAGAACCAGAGAAGGCCCCTAGAGGAAAGAGCAGTGTAACTTAAAGAAACACGGCTGCCATTACTCAAATTGTTATGACTCCACAATATCTTCTAGTTTTCTCCATATAACCAACTGATACTTGCTTTATGACCGTATGTTCAATTGCTAAGTAGAAAATGGTAAGATGTGTTAGGCTTGGCAGTGTACCCTGTAATCCCTGCATGTGGGAGGCTAAGGCAGGAGGATTGTGAGATACTAGAAAGACAGAGAGGAAGAAGGGGTGTGTGTGTGTGGGGGGGGTGACTGCAGAGATTTTGGACTATTGTATTCCATGAAGTTACCCAATTTAAACAATCTATTTGAGTATATAGTGCAGCTCAACCAGAGATGGACATGTCTCAGGAGACTCTCACTTGTCGCAACTTTGTAGAATATACTGGTGTGTTGGTCAGCTTTTCATCCCTGTAACAAAAGACATAATATAATTAATAGAAAGAGAAAGGTCAATGGGCACAGTGGCACATGACTTTAATTCCAGCACTTGGAGGCAGAGGCAGATTGCGACCTCTAGGCCAGCCTGGTCTACATAGTGAATTCCAGGATAGTCAGAGCTACACTATAGTGAGACTCTGTCTCAAAACAAAACAAAATACCAAAACAAAAGAGAGGAAAGGTCATTTTGGCTGCAGATTTGGAAGTTTCAGTCCATGGTCAGTTGGCTTGTTGCTTTGTCCCCAAGGAAAAGTAAAGAATATCAGAGAGGGAGAATGTGGCAGAAGAAGCCTGTTCACCTCACAGCTGGAAACAAAGGAGAAGGAGAAGAGCTCTACAGCTGCTTCAAGGGCTCGCCCAGTGACCGAAAACCTCCCGTTAGGTTCCGCCTCCGAAGATTCCTCCGCCTCCCATAGGCATCAGGATGAGGGGCCTGAGGGGGACATTCAAGATCTAAACTATAGCACCCAGCGAGCAGAGATGAAGAACATGGCTAAACATTTTACAATGCACAAGGCAGCTCTCCCAGTGACGAGTTATGCTGCGACAAACTCCAGTGGTGTTGAGGTTGAGGGTTATGTTAGACAACGTGAGGTTAACTGGCTGTGTTGTCGTGGCTTCTTTAGCATGCCTGTTTGGGGATGGGATGACTAGAGAGTTAGAAGGGTGACCAGATGGGTGAGCCCCCCCCCCCGTCTCTATCCAGGCTTTGTGTAAGGGAACTCCACCTGCTTATGCCTGTCTTATTTAAGATGGCTGGTTCAATGTGTGTGACAGAGCTAAACTGTACGAACAAGAGAATCTTTATTTCAGATTATAATTTAATTATAACAAGTCTCCCTTCCTTTCCCTCTCTCCTAATCCTCTCACATGCTGTTCCTCTCCCTCCAAGTTCATGTGCTCTTTGCTTTTTAAATAATTGCTATTGCATACATTTATATGTGTATATAGATGTATATTCCTAAATATAACCTATTTAGTTTGTACAATGTTACATGTACGTATGTTTTCAGGTCTGACCATTTGACATTGGACAACCAATTAGTGTGCTTTTCCCTAGGGAAGACCACCTCTCCTCAAACAGGGAAATCTATATGGTTTCAGCTAGCTTGGGTACATTTTAAGAAACATCTGTGCCACTGATTCATCTGGGATGAACACTCTAAACCCTTTTTCATAGCTACCTACAGTCGAGGTTCTCAACCTGTGGGTCTCGACCCCCACAGGTGTTGCATATTTATTTATATTTACATTATAGTTCATAACAGTAGCAAGATGACAGTTATGAAGTGGCAATGAAATAATTTTATGGTTGGGGTTCCCCACAACGCGAGGAACTGTATTAAAAGGCCGCAACATTAGAAAGGTTCAGAGCCACTGACCTACAGGAAATCATGCCCCCCACAAGTTAGCAAAGACACAGACCAGAAGACAAACAGCAGCCACATAATAAATGGTCTGTGCACGTGTAACTTGATCAGCCAGAGCAGAGGGCAAAGTATGAGTGGTAATGACGTGTGTGTGTGTGTGTGTGTGTGTGTGAGTGTGTGTGTGTGTGTGTGTGTGTGTGTGTGTGTGCACTTGTGCCCAGATCAAGCTTGTTGGTGAGGGAAATCACCTTGCAGGGCAGTGGTCTGCTGTGGCTTTTGCTCAATGTCTTCACTGGTTGCACAGGGCTGTACAACCTCATCAAAGGAAAAGCACTCCCATAGCCAAGCTGGCTCAATTTCCTTGTGGCATTGCTTCAGATAACAAAGAAGACAGCAATGTGACTTTCCTCTTTTCTTCTTCTTTCTCTTTCTTTCTTTCTTTCTTTCTTTCTTTCTTTCTTTCTTTCTTTCTTTCTTTCTTTCTTTCTTTCTCTTTCTTTTTGTCTTTGAGCTTGGAGGAGGATCCAAAATGAAATACAAGTAGAAGCTTTGTCTTCTCCCTGTGCTAGCTTTGCTTGTGGTTCCAAACAAAACCAGCAGCTAACCCTGAAGAGGGTGTAGCCGTTTTTTCCCCAAGCCAGGATTAATCCTAGTGCCTTGTTTTCTTTGACAAGCTTATCTGCAAAACGGACGTAGGTTCTGAAACCTCGGGAATTGTGTTGCAGGTGAAGCCGACCACGGGTGAGGAAAGTGTTAGATTTAAGCCTGGATTTGGGCTGCTTTTACTGTTTTAGCGCCCCTGGCCTTTGGTGAGAGACCGGCTCCATCTAAGCCCAGTTCTTTCTCTGCAGAGCCAGGGCAGGATTCATTGTTCTGCTTACCTCAGAAGGGCGTTGGAGGCTCAAATTAAAAGCAGCCGTGTCTAAGTGGTTTGTGAAAGGCACTGCAAATGCCAGGTGCTATTAGAAGTTGGAAGCAAGTGCTGAGGCAGCGAATTTAAGCAGCTTCAGACGTCTCTGCCGATGAGTGAGGGGCCCAGGTGTTGGCGTTGCCCGAGATGGGGGCGTGGAGGGCACAGCTGCGGGCGTGGAGGGCACAGCTGCGCACAGTGGTGCTCTCCCCCACTCCCCGCCACCCCAGGCAGACCCGGCTTCCTGGCTGAAGTTGTCCCCCAGTGGTTTGAAGAATACAACTATTGTGATCAGGAGAAAGAAAAATGGCAGGAGAGGTTAGACAGGTTCCAGAAATAGCACAAACTGAGCAACAGACACGGCTCAGAAGTGGAGAAAAAACAGCGGCAGTTGGCGGGGTAGGAGTAGCTGTTTACTGCTTGGTGGACGTGTGTGGAGAAAAGAGCAGAAAGATGCTTCGGTTAGAGCCTACAGAACCTGGGGTGGGGCACACAGAGTAGGAAAGGCTGGAGGCCAGCCCTGGAGAATTAGCTGGGAGAAAGCTCTCTCGTCCCGCCTTCAGACGCTAAGAAACTGACCCTGTATCTAAGGGCTTCCTGTGTGCCAGGCAACAGAGGTACCAGCTCCCCAAATGTGAGAGAGGAACCACTGAAGCAACCGTGAGGAAGCAAAGCTTGGGAGGCCCAGGGCCAGTCACCTTCCCACTGACCTCCACGGAGACATCCACATCTTCCTTGCCGCGGATAGGGATATACCGGGCCACGGGACTTGGCGTATTTCCAGCGCCTTGCTCACCATGGAGGGTTGCCATTCACGGAGGGAGTGTGTACATTTCCTGTTGCTCAGACAAAATGCCCCCACAGAAGCAACTTCAGGAAGTAAGGGTTTACTGCTGGCTCCCAGTGTGAGGGAACGGTCCATCCTCACAGGTGTTGGGAGGGGCCCGGGACCACTGGTCACATTGCTTCTGAAGTTAGGAAGCAGAAAGGAGAGGTTCATGAAGATTAACCCTGGAGTTCTTCCCGTCGGTGACTGTGAGGGTGGTTGCTGGAAATGAAGCCTCCTTTTCATGTCTGTCCATTCTGCGTTCACTCCCTTGCTTTTCTGCTCTTCATCCATAGCACAGGCCTCTCCAGATGTGGCTGCCTGATCTTGGGTGTGCAGCCTCCAGAACTGTGAGCCAAGATAAACCTCCTTTCTTTACAAATCTAAGTCTGGGGTGTCCGTCACAACAGAAGAGAGCCTGCAAGGGGAGGTCATCCTGGACTACCCAGGTGCTCCAGGGCAATCAAAGGCTCCTTAGGAGTGACAGGTGGGGGCAGGAGAGTCAGTCAGAGAAGGGGCTGTGACAACAGAAGCAGAGGCTGGAGTGACATGAAGTCAGTACATGCCTGGCCTTTGCTGCCTTTGAGATGTGGGCGGCCTTTGTAATCGAGGCAGGCAAGAAACAAACTGCCCTCCAGGGCTTCCTGGCCCTGCAGACACCTTGCTTGCAGCCAACAAAACCCAATACTTCCTCATTTCACAAAAGAGGACAACAAGGCCCAGGAATAGACCTGGCTCTGCCCTAACTCTCGCACAAGTTGGTGACATATCTCAAACACGGGACAGTGTAGATCAGGGTTTCATAAGTACAGGGTCTTTTAAGAATGTGGGTTCTGATTTGGCAAGTCTGGGTTAGGATCTGGTCTCTGGGTTTCCAATGCGCTGGCAGAGAAGGCCCGGAGCCCAGGGCTATGGTAGTGATTGGCATTGCCATCCTGGCGTCTGACAATCTAGAAAGGCCAAGGGGCGTCTAGTGAGATTTCCCTAGGAGGGACAGATGCAGGCATTGCATGGATATAGCTCTTTGGAGACGGGTTTAGGGTCTCATAGGAAAAGGTAAGATAAAAGCATAGCTCTCTATGCTGACTGAGGAAGACACCACGGACACATGTAGCTCAGGCTGCAGGTGGCCTCAAACTTGTCTTCCTTGTGTTTCAGCCTCCCAAGTGATGGAGTGACAGGCCTGCACCATCTTGGCCATGCATGATTAATACTTGTAATTGGGAAGGCAGCTTAAGCTTGCAGGAATGTGTCAGTCATCACACATAGCACACAGATTAAAAACGTGATTCTTAATTTTAACTTTTTATCGGGGTGGGGAGAGGGAGAAGGAGAGAGAACGTGTATGTGTATCTCGTGTGGTGGTCAGAGGATAATTCAGTGTTGTCAGTCTCCAATTCCATCTTTACATGGCTTCTGGGGCTTGAACTCAGATCTCTAGGCTTGTCAGCAAGGCCATATCTCACTGGCTGAATTTGGAGACGGTCTTTCTGACACAGATCTCTCTATGTGCTTGTGAAAGAAAACACTAGCCTTTAACCTTTCCCTGAGTTTTATGTATTTCCTTCCAGAGAAATAAATAATGTGCTTATCTTTGAAAAGTGTCCCTGAAATCTTGACAGATGGGGTTCCTGGGTGATGCCCCCCATCTCCTCAAGCTCCGAAACTGCCTCCTGAGGGCGCCAAAAATGCAGGACCCGGATGCGGCCTTCCCACTGACTGCAGCTGTGGTTTTCTGAGTCTTTGTTTTGAAAAAAAAAAAAAGGTGTCCCCCCACCCCTACTTCACTGTCATCGCAGAACGTCCAGCTGTTTGTGGCTACCAGAGTCACCTGCAGGTTAAGAATGTTCTGGTTTCATTTTGAGGCAGCTTCCTGCACCACGGAAGCAAGAATTAGCAGCTCTCAGACACGTGGCCACAGAAAGGCAATACACCTCGATTGTTTCCTGTGCCTCAGCCTTTTAAAAGCTCCTCTCCCCTTCTCTTCCCTCCCTTTCTCCCCGCCTCCTTCTCCTTCTACTCTTCCTCCCATCTTCCCTCCTTTTTCCTCTCTGTCTCAATTTATTTTAATTTTAGACAGGGCTCCCAGACTGACCTTAAGCTTTCTGTCTTCCTGCCTCAGCCTTCGGAGTGATGAGATTATAGCGTGCATTCCCACAACCAGCTGTGCCTCTGTTAGAGCGCCTCAAATGTGGTTCCCCCTCAACAGTGTTTACCTAGAAGGAATATTCGAGTATTTAGTTTTCTTTATGTGTATGCATAGATGGGTGTGCAAGCATGCTTGCATGTACACAGCAGGTAGTGTGTGCATGCAGAAGTCAGAAAACCTGTCATTCTTCCAGTAGTTCCCAGGGAGCTGTTCACTTTAGTTTTTGTGTTCTATCTTTTTTCTTTCCTTCTTTTCTTTCTTGGATTTTTTTTGGTGTTGTTTTTGAGGCAGCATTTCTCTGTGTAGTCTTGGATCTCCTGAAACTCACTCTGTAGATCAGGATGGCTTGGAGCCCTGAGATCTGCCTTCCTCTGCTTCCCAAGTGCTGGGATTAAAGGTGTACGCCATAAACCTTGTTTTTTGAGAAAAGGTCCCCCACAGACCTGGAAATCAACAAGTAGCCTAGGCTGGCTGGCCAGCAGACCCCAGGAATCTGCCCATTTCTTCCTTCCCGGGGCTGGGATTAAAACCACATCACAATGCTCCCCATTTTTACATGAGTCCTGGGGTCTGAACTCAGATTCTCATATTTGCAAGGCAAGCACTTTATCTTCCAAACTATCTCCAAAGCCCCAAGGGATTTCTAGGAAAAGATTTCTGAAAACCCAATCAGCTCTGGGTTTCCCTGTAAAGGTTGTGATGACTCTGTTGGAAGATAACATGTGGATGAGCTGTCGGGGTCATTCAGCAAGTACCAGGGAGCCCTAGGAATCAGAGGAAGACACTGCATTAGATTCTGCAGAAAAATCTCCCTTTGCTTCCAGTCAAGGGTCAGTGGTCATGTCTGGATGCTGGACAGTTTTGCTTGAGGACTGGATGGTGGAGGAACAGCATTGTGGGTAGTTTTCTGTTATCAGAGTGAAAAGTCACAGTTTGGGTGTGAGATAGCCCTTGCTGAATGTGAAATCCTGTTCAGGAAATCCTATTCAGACCCCTGCACTTCAAAGCCTCTTCCCCATGGTGTTATGTCCCTAGCTGGAAAATCTGAATTAAAGCCTCCACTCTCAGTATTCCTGTGAGGACTAAAAGTGACACAAAGAAAGCCACTAAACTCATCCTTCTTCCAAGAACCAGAGCAAACAGGATTTTCAAGGATAACCTGTGCTTGGCTATGAGATGTATTGTCACCTTTCTGCTATACATTGATCTATCTATTATTCTCTATTTTGCTTAGCTGCCAGTCATGTTGACTTTTATTTCTTTGGCACATACTCCCAGTGATGGGAGAGAGATATGAAATGCAATGTGGCAATCCAGTCGTGCGGTAAGTTGCAGGATTTGTGCATAGACACAAGTACAAGAGAGATAGATGGCCGTGCTTAGAAAGACATGGTCATCAGGCTGGAGAGATGATTCAGGGGATATCCTAATTAGGGTTTCTATTGCTGCAATGAAACCGTGACCAAAAGGAAGTTGGGAAGGAAAGGATTCATTCCCTTATATTTCTATATGGAAGTCCATCACTGAAGGAAGTCAAGACAGGATCTCAAACAGGGTAGGAACCTGGAAGCAGGAGCTGATGCAGAGGCCGTGGAGGGGTCGGGTCCTGACTACTGGCTTATTCCCCCCTGGATTGCTCAGGCTTCTTTCTTAATGAACCCAGGACCACCAGCCAAGGAATGGCACCACCCACAATGCACTGCCCCCATATCAATCACTAATTAAGAAAATGCCTTACAGACAGATTTCATGGAGGCATTTTTTTCCAGTTGAGATTCCCTCCTTTTAGATAACTCTAGCTTGTATCAAGTTGACATAAAACTAGCCAGCATAGGGGGTGAAGCCCTTGCCACACACGCAGGAGGACCTGAGTTAAAATCCTTAGAACTCATGTAAATCAGAAGCAGAAGAATGTGTCTATAATCTCAAGTGCTTCTGTGGCAAGATAGAAGCAGACACAGGTGGACTCCTGGAAGCTTGCAGGCCAGCTGGCTTGGTGTGTACACAGCGGAGAATGACAAAGATCCTGTGTCAACGAGGTGGACATCTGAGGTTTCCTCTGACCTCCACATGTATTTGTGTATATGTGTACACTTTTACTTACTGAGACATCTCACAGCCCAAAAATAGATCTTCAAAAAGTTTACCTTTTATTTCCTAAGCTCTGTTCCTGGCTATTTTGATGCTGGGAATTGAACCTGGGTCCCCTGGAAGAGCAGACAGTACTGTCAACCACGGAGTCATCTCTCCAGCCCCATTCCTGGGTATTTTTAAAGGAAGCTATCGAGAATGGAACAGCTTCCCTATTTTTTTCTGAACAAGTTTGTTATTGGTATATAAAAAAGCTACAGACCTTTGTATGTTGTTTTTATATCCTCTAACTTTACTGGAAGTGTTTGTTACTATCTGAAAATCTTCTGGTGGAGTCTGTAGCATCTTTTAAGTGTAGCATCATCTTGAATGCAACGAGGGCTAATTGAACTCCTTTCTTTATTTGTAAATCCTCTTGTCTTATTGCTCTAGCTAAGACTGAGCACCACATGAATAACAGAGGATTAACTGTGGGAAAAGAGAGCATAATTGTTCAATTCCAGACTTTAGAGAAAATGCTCTCAATTTCCCTCATTTAATATCCTGTCTGTAGATTTGTTATAGTTTTTTATTATTTTGAGATAAACCTGTCTAGTCCTAAATTCTCTATGACTTCTATTATGAAACCATGTTGAACTTTGTCAACTGTGTGTTTTCTACATCTATTGAGACAACCATGTGATCTCTGCTTTTAACGTTTATTTATATGGCATATTATACTTACTGAAACAACTTTGCATCCTTAGTAGGAAACCAGCTTGGTTGTGGTTTGCATTCTTTAACTATGTTTGCAAGTACTTTATTGAAAAATTTTGCACCTATGTTCATCAGGGAGGTTGGAATGTAGTTTTCTTTTTTGTTGTGTCTTGTTTTCATATCAGAGTAATACTGTCTTCATGGAATGAATGTTTAGTGTGTGTGTGGGGATCATGCTTGTATGGTGTGCATGTATGGTGAGTGCATATGAGTATGCATGCCTGTGTGCATGTGCAGAGGCCTGATGAAGATGTCAGGTGTCTTTTATCACTCTATACTTTGTTCCTTTGAGGCAGAGC